GGGAGGCAGGTTTCTGGCTGAGACAGGTTTTATAGCATGAACAAAGGATCAATGCGTGCATTTAAAAACATTTTTTATACGGCAAAAACAAAAGTTTTGTTCAAACATTTCACATTTTGAAATCAAATTTTGAAGTATTCAAATCAATGTTAAATTTTCACTTTCATGATATTAAAGTGAAATATAGAAACAACCAGTAATAGATGAAAGATTACATAATACTATTACCAAAAACTGAGTAAAATAACAACACTGGTTGTTGAAAACACATGGGATTTAAATACCTTAGTAGAAAAAATCTCTCTCTGAATGTCAAGATATCTCCAGTACCTCTAGCCTTACTTCACAACTACTAAGTAAAAGAAAAATTATTTTTCTGCCAGAAAATTGCAAACAACTTCTGAAGATGATTGCATCATGGTCAAAAGATTTCAAAAATAAAAAATTATTAATTTATGATTATCAGTTTCATTTATTAAAAAAATGAGCATTTGACACTTTTGAAAGTCATTATTAGATAAATATAAAATTCAACGCTGACGTTTGAAATGTTACCCCAAAAGGGCTCAAGTAATCAAAGTCATCTTTGTCAACATAAATTTAGCTTGGAGCCCGATTTTAACTGAACATCATCAGTCTAAAAACATACAAAAACAATTTTTTGAAAGAGATAATACAAATAATGAAATTAAATTAAAATAAGTATTATTTTAACAGTATCAAATTAAATTTCAAAAAATAAAACAGAATAAGATGAGCTACTATTCTACAGTGGCAAATGCCAAAGAGAAGTTTCGATCGAAGTTTAAATATGCTTTTGGATTGTGATTGAGGGGTTGGAGGTCCACTCCCTTTTATCTTGGAAAAATCTCAGAAGGTAGGGGAGGAGTGTGAGAGACCTACCACAGAGGACATGGAAGTTGGTTTGATTATTGAGGAGAATTTGAGATTTGTTGGATTGAAAAATGAGAAAAATTCTACAACATTCCTGTCCGGAAATTTATATTCTATTTCAAAACTTTTAATGTCTTGATGCAACCAAGTGTTGTCTGTGTTTTTGAGATATTAGCAAAGCGTGACCTGTTGTGAAATATTTCCAGGTAGGTGCATTTCGAGGTAGTCGACTACCTCGTTTTGTGGCTTCCATCCAGCAGACAACTAATGATGATGGCTAAGCAATCGCAAGCTGTTCTTATATTAAATACTATTGTTGGCAATGACAACGTCTATAATTATTTCATGAAAAATGCCAACGATAATGCACCACAACACCTATACCAATATGCAATGCAATCTTCAGATGTATCTCAATACATTTTGAATAGTACTGTAAATGTCACATCCATATTAATGGGTTATTCCCTACATTTACTTCAGAATTTGTCGATTCAAAAGCAAAAAATTCAAACCTATTCATGAAGATTCTCTTCAACTTATTGTAACATGAATTGTTTAAATTTTACTGTCCCATAATTGTAGAATGACTCTGTAATTTAATACAATACTTAAATATATTATAACATAATGTTAGGAAGAAAAATGAGATAAATGAACGGATTCTTCATAATTACAAACACATCGAAATCCATTATCAAATAGTATCATTGTATTAGTAATAATCATTTTAATTTCAATAAAATAACCGTGTTCAAAGTATATTCTTTATAAAATGTGATTCATAAAACATAATAAAAGGTTATTCTAAAAATAATGATTTTTTAAAAACTTTCTGTAGCTTAGAGTCTCATTTATGATTTCTTTTATACAAGTATTTTGAGAAAATATTTTAAAAAGTAGCTGCATAAAATGTTTCCAAAATGATTTAATTGTTCTCCAACAGGAATACCAGGAGTCTACGATATAAAATCTCTTAGCGGATCAATATACCCTGTTTTTAATTTTCTAGTGTCATACAAGACTTTCTGAAAATGGAATCACTTAATATTGAAATATATAGAAATATGCTCACAGCCCTTTCACACAAATATTGTCAATCTCTTATTCTTGTCATACACTTTTGATTAATACTTCACCATTTAGAACACTCAAGTACTACATATATATAAATTACACTGAATCAAGAAGTCTGAAATAAAAAAAAAAAGAATACAATAACATTATGGAAGACTGAGTCAGATTAGTATCAAATTATTCCATAAACTGATATAAGTACAAAGAACAATTTAAAACTACATATGAAGAATAATATATTTTTTTGTCACAGTCTAAAGAGCTCCTTCCATTACTTTTTTAGGAATTTTTTATATAATTAACATAATTATATTTTAATGTTGGTTCCTAATGCAGTCCTATGATTGCATTTCAGTGTTTTGAAATATCAAACAGTATCATAATGTAACAAAAATAAGTAATGAAAATAGAAAATACCACAACTAAATAAAGGTAAGAAAAATCAAACAATTATTGGAAATACATGCTTTGACATTCTTTTAACGTTAAATAGTAAGTATTTTAAAACGTTGATTCTAATACTAGAATACTTTCATTTCCATTCATTAATTCTCTGAACATTTACGACATAAATGGTCCTTTCTTAGCCACAATAATGTGCGATTATATCAGTCTTTGAAAAGTAAATTACTGTAACAAATAAACAGTTTTCTGGAGCAACAAAGACTATAATTACATGAGCAATAAAGACAAGGCAGGTAAATTTCATTCTGAAAAGAATTTCAAATACAGCTCTTTTAGTAATCAGTTGTCTTAGGCACTGAGCTCTCTAAGATTTAAGCACGTTTAAACACAGTTGATGTTGCTATGAAACACCAATTTCATTCTACTTTCTTGTTTTACACTATTGTACTGAAATGTAATAACTTTATTATCATGAAAAACCTTTTCCAGTTATTCCATATCAGTAAATGTGCTTCTTCAATCACTTCAAAATTACACTATCACAATTTGAGAAGCTTTGAGCAGTTTTCTTGTTTGTGCACTTTTTTCTCACATTTTTTACAACAGTGTTAAAAATGCAAGACAGTAAATATTTTTTTAATGTGCTTTCCACATTTTTTTTTTTTTGTTCTTTTAATGCACTAAACTGCAAGACCAATGTTACTCTTTATAAATACAACTTAATTAGAACCATAATAATGAAATGTTTCAAGGTGAACACAACAAAGAAGGTATATAGAGCGCAATCAAAAACCTGCCAGAAAAAGCATTGACATAGCTATTATTCACAGATATCAAGAATTAAACCACATGTACTATTATCACACTCCAAAGATTTCTAAACTTGTGTCTCTTATAATCAATAAAATGAATGTGAGAACACAACACACATTAAACAGATATTACATTACATACATAGCTTATGCATTCTCTATATTATCATAATATACTTATCTATTTTGAATTAACTTCTATTACCTAGATATATTCTATTTATATAAAAAGACTGAGTTTCTAAGTGGAAGGAAGCCACCCCACAAGTAAAGAAAAGTTTGTCACTACATGTTCGATTTGACTCTCCACTTGTTTATTAGTAAAGAGATAACATGACAACACACAATTACTTTAACTTCCTCAAAATAGAAGGAATCAAGAAAAGAAATTAAATGAAATGCATGTATTCAATTTCTTCTAAGAGAGCTATTATTGGGTTATAATTCTATACCAAAAAATGATTATTTTCCAAATGTGGAACACAATCTTGGCTACATGACAAAAGTAGCTGCAACAGAAGTTGAAAATAGTTGGCAACCAAGACATAGGAGTGAGCATGATACAGGAAAAGGTGTAGAGATTTCTTTAGTTTAATATTATACATGTAGTGTTTACATATATTACATACATGTATTTCTTTTAGACAGTGTTCATGTCGATCAGACATCTCATACTCAGGGTATATGCTGCACATGCAGTCCTAGTCAAATGGAGACAACCATCTGTCCAAATCTGAAGCTGAAAGAGTGCATCAGAAAATTGAGGAATCACTGAAAATCTGGACATGCCATATCATAAGCAGCAATGTACTGAATGTGAGTATTCAGTTAGAATGTGCAATGTGTAGAAACACAAGCCACCTGAAGTTTTAATTTAATATAAAAAAACAACTATATGATGATTTCGGATGTTACTTAATGGGGGGGGGGGGCAAAATATCAGACCGTATAGAAGTATAGGGAGTGAAACAGGGCTGTGTCCTGTCACCTCTTCTAATTACTGCAGTGCTGGATGATGTGATGGAAAGCGTAACAACAGAAGAAAGAAGAGATATTAGATGGGGTTTGACAGCAACTCTGGAAGACCTCTCAGGTGCAGTATGAGTAGGTGGAATAGCACAATGAAATATTTGCATTTTTCAGTCAACAACAAAACTGTTTCATTGCTTTTGGATGTTCCTCAAGTTCTTGGGTATCTACCAAAATCATTGACACCTCTTTTTCTACATGAATTGGAAATTAGTAATATGGATTTTATAATGGTGGTTATAGGTTCTACCGATAGCACCAAAAGTGATGATTACACACTTTTTGACAACTTTCAGGCAGTAGGTGATTTTGATTTCCAAATGACTACTTAAATGCATTATGTATGTGTCATCCAGTTCAATATTGACATTCAAAAAAAAAGTTCAGGAAATAGGAAGGTGTGCCTTTATTCAATGAACACAGTGGGCAACTTTTGCTTTCCAAACTTCTGATATGTGTTAAATCTAAATAATACTGTGTTAAATCAAAAACAATTATTTTCTCTTGATTTCTTACTTATTCAAACCCATAATAGTTTAATAGAAATCAAAGTATTAAAATAACATAGCACCAACTCATGAAGACGTTTTAGGAAAATAATTGAACTTGTATTAGAGGAAATGTCAATTATAAAAGCTTCTGAGATCAAGAAACTTCACAAAAAATTATTTGAAGCTATTCTGTTAATGCATTAAATCATGCATTAAATCATGAATTACACCTGCAATGTAAATATTAACTATGCTCAAGAATTTTCAAAAAGTTACTTAACTATTCAAACAAATGTCCAGAAAAAAAATTTAAGCAAACTGTTTTTAACGAATACTGTACATTTAAACAGTAATAAATAAGTAATAGTAAGTAAAGAAAAAATTAACAACATTTTATTCAAAACAAAGCACAGACCATTAATATATTTTAAAACCTGTACATGAAATCAAGTGCTAATATTGCAGCATCATATATAATTTTTTTTTATTATAAAAAGCTCTTTCTTTGGCATCCAAAAACACAACTCTGTTAAAAACAGATTTTGGATTTTGTAGCATTACAGAATTTTTCTCTGTGCTATATATTTGGGGAAGTAAAAAGAAACACTTCCTGCTTGCCAAACTTATTTTCATCTGATTATCAGATCTCAAAAGAAAAGAAAACAATTTTCTGTATGATCACATCACCAATTTTTTGATAATCATGTAACTTTAGGGATCAATGTCTCAAAATTAGTGACAATGAAGTTGCACCACTATTAAAATAAGGCCTTCATTTTATAATATGGATTACTCATAAGTAAATGATAATTTAACTTACTGTACAGGAACAATTACCTAATTTTACACCACCTTTAACTATTTTTATGATTACCTACAAGTAATTTAAAGTTAGTTCTAGCAGTCTAAAGTACAGAACAATTTTCCCATATAATTACAATCTAAAAAATATTTAATTTAATACAAACATACATAAACACTGTAACATGTTTACAATCAGTGTTTAACCTTATGAACTAAATCACCAAAGACCTTTTATTATATGTACAACATATTTATTAACTATTTCTGAATCGCATTACATGTCAATAATTTCACACCTTACTAGACTGCAAGATTTTGATATCTCTAATGCAAGGACTTCAATTTGAATTGGAATTTTGTAAAAAGAAATTATTTTAAGATAATCCTACTCAAACCTAAACTGCACAATTGATTTCGATGTCCCCTATTAAAATACACACAAATTAAGAAATCATGGATGAAAATAAGATAATTATTAGAATTTTCTCCACCAACATAATATTTATTATTATAATATACCACCATTATAATATTTATTATAATATTATTTCAAATATTAATGCAGGAAACAATTTTTCTAAGACACTAAGCTGGAATTAAAAACTAAAAACTGCACATGAAAGAGCTTCGCAACAAAAAGTGCAAGAAGACAGCGAGAGGGGGGGAAAAAAAATAATAATAATTTAACTTTACCATTCATCATAAGCCAGTTATCTTCAGTTCTTTGTGCTTTACAGCTAGGCCTTGACAGAAGCAGAGTTGCCGCTCTTTACTGCTCTTGACATATGCACATTGAACGTGCTTTTGTGGCCAATCTAAAGTGAACACCAGATTTTGGTCCCCTTCTTTTTATATTTTTCAGTCAGATAGCTATCCCATATGAATAATTTTAATGTGGTCAAATTTTAATTTTGGAGATGTTAAAGTCATGGCAGAAGTGAACAACCTGTACAATACTCTATCCCGTTCATTTATTCATTCTGAGTTGATGACAAGAGTAGATTACACTGGAAAAGCTGCTCATCTTGTGTGTCCCTAGGAAACCAATGACTGTGACGTCATGTGACTCTCAAACTTCAAACACCAAAAAGTTTGGCACAATGATTATCAATTTTCAGACATCCTTCTAACTTCCTGAACATAAAATGTTGCATACAAATAATGCCAGTAGATATGAAAATCCTAGATATCAATTCAAATTCATCATACATTTTCTTATTGACTTCAGATATAATATATTTAAAATGTAATTTAAAACTAAATACTTTGACATTTAATTTAATTCAATTCAGCTTTTAATAAAAGACCAAGTGAAAGTCAAAAACATTAATAACAAACAAACATTTTTAACACAAAAAGTGCATAATGATTGCCTTTCAACATTCACGAGTTTGTCTAGTAATTGGAAATTGAAAAGAAATATTTATCATAAGAAAAGGTTTGAAAATTTTCTGAACAATTGAAAATGTATGAGATACAAAAAATTGTACCTCTATAACCTTGCGCAGTAAATAATTCGAGGTAAAAAGTTATTTCCTTCCACTTTTCTCTATCAGTCTTCATGTCAAAGAAATGTATGCACGACATATGACAATGGTTTCTCAACAAATATAATTCATAGAACAAATGTACAGATATGTTATCCTACAAGGAAAGATAATTTGTCAATAGATATGTAAACAATTAACATCTTTGGTATAATATACATCAAATTCACAAATAACTGTCTCCACACCAGTAACTCTCCAAACCCCAATAGTGAAGAATAGCAATCAGCAAAATATTACTGACTTTTTGAGGTTTTCATCAACTGCAAACAGAAAAATGAACAAGATATCCAAAGCTTAAAATCACACAGTGAAAACAAATTAATTATATTTCTCGTTTCATTCTTTCCCTACTAAAAATTTTATAATTTAATTAATTAATTAGTTCAAATAAAATATTTCTGTGAACAAATCACAAGATTTTTTACCTCCATTCTCCTTCTCAAGTTTTCAATGTACCCTTTGCTTGAAAATTAATTACGATCATTACACAACTCTTAACTTTTCAGGAGACCTACCTGTGATGTTTTGCAATGTTGTTTTTGGAAAATTTTTTGGCGATGTTTAATTTTGCCCTGAATAATAAAATTACCAATTAGTACACATAATCACATTCATATGATAGATCTAATCACACATGACAGAATGTACTTGATATCAAAAGTAATTAGGTGCCAATTCCAGAATGTTATTTTGAAGGAAAAAAGTAAAGAGTGAAGGAGAAAGAAAGAATAATGAAGAAGGGGAAAAAAAAGAAAAATAATTCAAATTAAGAGATCTGTCTCCCAAAATGTGGTGGAGTTGTGGAAACGGTTTTAATCATTTAAATGGGCCTTCGATGTAAGTAATCTGAGCTTGCCCAATTTTTTTAATTGAAGCTTCAGCAGTTACAGTAACAAATTCTGAAATTATTTTAAATTTTTGCAAGTTTTCTCAACAATCCTCTGAATGTATGCTTTCAATTGAAAAGTTTATTATTAACAAAAAGAGAAGTATTTAATTCTTTGGCGATTGAGTATCAATACTTTGCAATTTGACAAATCTGGTAGAAATGCTTGTAGCAAAAACACCATTTTTTCACATTTTTCCAAATATATAGTAATTTCCTCTCCCTAAAATGTGCAATAGCTGTGAATATCAAGAACTGAATCACAAATATTACAGAATCAAAGTTAAAGCATTAAAATCTGTTTTCAGAAGTCCAAGATGCTAAAAAAATAATTAGAAAATAAATATATTTTAACATGTTTGAAGGATAATGATTCCAATAAGGTAAACTTCAAATCTTCCATTTTTCCCTTATTCAAATTATCATCAAGATCGCTTCTTTTTTCTTCCATGATGTCATCATAATCAACATCCCAGAGATCAATATCCAAAATCAGTATTTCAGTTAGAGCATTGGTATAGGACTGACCTTCACATTTTTGCAAATGGTGTGCATTTCATAATATTTTTCCTGCAGGAACAACTACCATGGCACTTTAGAACATGTTTAGCATATCGAGTTCACAAGTCCTCCAGACGCTGATTTTATAGTAGGGTGAATAGGCAGGAGGCTGGGTTTTGAATTTTTCTAGTTCCATTGCAGTGTGTTGAGTTGCTTGTTTTTCCTTGCTTGCACCTGCAAAAATATGTCCTCAGGGAATAATGTCAAGCACCTACTCCTGTAGAAAGTAAAGATGCAAGGTTGAAGGAAGTCTTTCTTATAAATTTTCCGAAGATTTCATGACATAGCAGTTTTTAATGGCTTTCTTTCACCCTCTGAACAGAGGGCTACTATGATCTTCTGTCCTACCCAATCAACCTTTTCAAAAATCAAATTGGTTTTTAAGGGTAAAGCACAGGATTTTGTGTTCTTCTTCCAAACCTATGTCATCAAATATAGTTAAGAGGCTTCGAGGTGAACTCATATAGAAAATATTAATTAAGTTGGAAATATTCAGTCCGTCATGAGTTGAAAGATCATACCTTTTTCAGTAGTGGTTGCCAAACTAATGATTGTGAGCAACCATACAGTTTTCAATTCTACTGTAAGATACCAGAAAAAGCAATACAGACCATTTTTTTTCTTCTTCTTCAAATCTTAACTTTTGTTTATTGTCTGTAAGCATACACCTCTATTAAACATGAAACAAATGTTAATAAAACATATGCAAGAAAAATAAACTGAAATGGGGTTGCACATTACAAAAAAATTGAAATTTAGTAACTAACAAATTATGAATTGAATAACAGATTTTTCATCAGACTAGTTAATGAGAAGGATGGCACCTTTATCATCATATTCTAGTTTTTTTATGTTACAAGAGTTGGTCATGACTAGGCCATTTGAATACATTTGTCCAAATATTAATTAGTGAGTGTGTTTGTGTACTTGTTTGTGTACTTGTTTGTGCTCGGTAGAACAAGTCCAGGTTAGCCAACCTTGAGCATGACCACAATCTACCAAAAATTTTCCCCACGAGTTAGAAGTAGCTTGCGATCGATGGTTTTTCCAATCACTGTTTTAGAGGCAAGATTCAATGAGACGTTTCTTTTGAACTTCAAAAGTTGCCATCCTCAATTGTGTTCAAAACAAAATCTTTTATGTAAAGAGCAACCATTATGCACCCATCGAGAAAGTATTAAAAAATGGTGATTGGAATGGTTCGGTCATGATTGTCGAATGAGCACCACCCAACTACAGCACCAACTCCTCTGGCAACAATGACCAACCCATTGGAAGATCCAGTGAACAGCCTCAAAGAACACAAGAACATCAAGGAAGATCTGCAGAGCCAGCACCTCAACATTAACGATGCCAGGGATCTGGCCACAAACAGCCAGAACTGGAAGAATGTACTGCTCAATGACCCTATAGCTGCAGAGGCAGCTCCCTATACCAGCTGCCCACTTAAGACCAAAGAAGAAGAACAAGAATGTTGCCACAAATGATCTTTGAAAAGCACAAACTGTCAATTTTATAAGCTTTGTGGTAATTTGTGTTTTCATCACCTACTAACCTAGTGCAAATTAATCTTGCAGCTTCTCAATCAGAAAAAGGATCATGTGACAAAAACCAGGCATACAATTTTTTGGCATACACAATGTCTTTGTATTGCGTTTCTTGCACCCACATACTGCTCAGTAGTTGCAAATGAATCACCCCAAAACCGCTCGACTTGTTCCATGATGCCAATTGCTGTTCTCATCGTAGCAATACTCTTGCAAGAATGCTATCTGTTAACCCTCTGTTGTGCGTTAAGCTACCAGCACTCTTCACATCAGGGTTTGTTGAAATACCACATCAGTCCAAATTCTGACTAAACATTTTTCAGAGCTTTGAACATGCATGCACCTGGAGGCCTACGCCCCCAAACATGCATGTACACATTCAAAAACCTTTTTGTTTCCAATTCAGTCATGTCTTGTAAGTATAAATAGAATGATTTTGCATCAAAGTTGTCAACATTGACATGAAAACACAGCAGCACATCATCAAAACATTGCAAAGGCAACAGCCAATCTTCCCTCCCCTCAGCTTACACAAATATCTTCACAATAATTTCAGTTATAAAATACTCAATTATTCTGAATCTCCATTTGTAAAACTGTGAACATTTATGTTGTAAATAAATGAAAGGAAACCTTGTGTAACTGGAACATCATAACTGCTCAATCTCCACTTGAGTGGGACAAACCTAGATTATAAGCAAACTACAAGATGGATTAAAACACTTTTCACAATTCGGTCAATTTTTTGGTTGGCAGACCTTAATTTCTTCCTAATTTCACTGGCCTAACATTAATATACACACTGCACAATTATTGAAAACTAGTGGCCTGCAGCTTCAAAAGTTTGTTAAACAAAAACATACAAAGCAGTTTTCCTAAAAGATAATGCAACATGCACAAAGCAAACAATTAATGACATGGAGCCTCCTCTTTGGAGCATTGCTGCTGCATGACATCAGATTCATGGGAAGCAAAGATGCACTAAGTACGAGTCTTCACTCGGTACAGTCAGTTTGAGAATAGGCAGAATAACACAATCAAATATTTGTGTTTTGCTGTCTAAATCAAAACTGTTTAATTATATAATTTTAACTGTTTCTGTTCACATTGGAAACTGGTAATATACATATTTTTATATTTTTCCTCAGTTCCAGGGCATATAATGAAACCACAGAAACCTCTCACTTGCCTGAAGAATGAACAGTTTTCTTTCAATTTCTGTGCACATTTGAAACTAGTAATATAGATATTTTTACATTTTTCCCAAACTCCTGGATATTTATAACTTCAGACACGTGGCTGGAGGCAGAATAGTTTGGTTTTAATTTCAGAAAGCATCATGGATGTTTTTTAATTCCTGGGTATCTAATGAAACCATAGACACCTTTCACATGGCCAGAGGCAGTATAGTTTTCTTTCAATTTCTGTGCACATTGTAAATTAGCAATAAAGGTGACGTGATTTTCAAGGTATTGAGAAACGTTTCTACAAAAAACAATTACTAACACATTACACCAATAGTACATGAATATAATTTACTGTACTGATGAAGCAAAGCTGACATATATGTTTTGAAACAATTTCTACGTTCTCAACATGTTTCAATAACAACTATACAACACAATAAAACAATCTTTATTATATGTTTTCATTATTAAATGTACTATATCACTAATGGTTATGCTAAATGAACTACTTGGTGGTTAAAGTAATTAAATATGAGGAAATGGATGAAGTGTAATCTGTAATAGTTATACAAAATTATTCCTTGAGACACAAACAACTATTTTATACAACAATTATTGTACTAAAAAATGAAAAATTAAAAGCATTTACTGTACATACATTTTTTTCCAATACGTCTTCTACTACCAACAGTACAGTAAATGCAAAGAATGTGAAATAATGACGTCCTACATAAAAGAAAATATGATGCAAATATTTTTCTAAAGACTTTCTTAACAACAAATTTACTTACTTGAATTTTTTTCCTTTTCATTCCATAGGTGCCCCTTGCAACACGATATCTTTCATATCGCTTCCATAAGTTCAGAAGAGCTAACTGTTGTCTCACTCGTCTCTTCTGAATACGCTTCAAAATAGCTGCCTCTTTTTTCTCCAGCTCCCCTTTGAGAAATTCTTTCTCTGATTGAGAAGCCTAAGATGTTAAAAATCTTATCAATCTGATTTCTCCTCCTTCAATATATATATATATATATATATATATATATATATATATATATATATATATATATATATATATATTGTTAACTTGCTTAAAATGTATTATTATTATTTAATTTATATTAAGAGTTTTCAAAATACATTAGAAGGGAAAAGAGTTCTTTTGAAATAATGTTCTTTTAAACTTTCTCAAATATACTGCAAAGACAAAATATTATAATCATGTAGAAAATCGATATCAAGATTTTAAAGTTAATATACACATTTGACACAGAAAGGATACTGGATGTCTAAAAAATGTGTGTTCTCAACTCTCTAACCACCCACATCAAAATTTCTCTTGAGAAATTTAGAGGATCATTTTCTCATGATTAAAATGTATAGGATATCCTGCCTCCACCTACTAGCCCCTACTAGCATGGTTAGAATATCCTTCGAGCTCTTTTGTAGTGGTTTCACATGAACCACATTCTACATTTTCAATTAACGTAACTAAAATTATTTTGGTATATTGTTATGCAATACATTGTATTATACTTTGCATTTTTGTACATATTCTTATACACCATATGAAATTGTTTCAATCGGCACAATAAAGTTCGTAAAAGATGGCACATTAGGGTTTTTCAAATCTAAATACTTTTCACTTACATCTGAACCAAATGTAACAATTTTTAAAAAGGGTATCTTTAAATTTTTATAAAATACAAATCAAACTTTAACTATAGTACAGTGTGTATGGAACATGTGGATTAAATAGAGTGCATTTAATGTTCAAAGAATTTCCAATCAACTTCTTAATTTCTGTAAAGAACAAATTAAGTGCCTTTTTTTCAACCTACTTGCGCTTCTTTAAAATTAGAAATGTTAATAACAATAAAAAGATTTAAATTATTCTTTTGAATTTAACATTTTAATAAAAAGTTAGTTTTCAAAAACATATGAAAAAAAATTTCCCTTTTCTAAAAATTCTCAAACTATGTGTGTTTTAAATGGTTCTTATTTTTTTCTCTCTATAAGACACACTGAGTATTGGAGAAACAAAATAAGAGAAAAAGGTAAAAAATCAGTTTCATGGTAATGAAAATGTAAATACTTTTTGATTTAAAAATGTCTGTAAGTATTGCATCCTACATGTTTGATTCACATTAAAAAGTACAGACAGCAATGGGTGACCCGTATTGGAAATATGCTGCAAGGAAGACTTCAAGTGCAAGCCCTGAATTATAAACTGCCACAAACAAGATGGAAAGAGACTGGAATGCAATATGCCTAATCCATAAAGGAACATAATGTTTGATAGAGATAGAAAGAGAAAAAGAGAGAGAGAGAGAGGGATAAAGAGAGGGAAAGAGAGAGAGAAAGAGAGAGAAAAAAATAATTTTAATAGCATAATATAATTATCATGATTCTTAATTATCTGACATGATTATAAGATTCATGTCACGAAAGTGTACTACATATCAGCATCAGTAGTTGACAGCTAACATACCAAGTGCATTCATGTGAATATGAGCCATGCACAACTGGCATACAGCATTCTCATTGCTATTTCAGCATCATGAAAGCTTTACATGCCTAATAAGGCAAACAATCTATCAACAACTACTGTATTAAAGCACCAGTGAATTATGTGAAAGCAATGTGAACTTCAATTTACTAGCTAATATTTTAAGCAGTGTATTTCACGCTTTCTTGATACAAAAATTGATTTTGAAGAGAAATACTTCTACCACATGCTAATGTTTGAAAATAATCATATCAATAAATCAAGAACAAACTATCAAAAAACTTTCTAAATAATTTGAAAACCAATGCTAATAAACTAGAAGAAGCAATGTATATGCACTAGAATGAGCAATACATTTTGGAGAACGTATGTCCACAAATAGATATTTAAATATTGCTAATAATAGGAAATATTCTTCAATAACAGTACAGTTCATTCTTTAAACTGAACAGCAAGCTTGATATTTTTAACTTCCTTGTATATGTAGTAGAGATAAATGCTACAAAAAATTAACACCAAGATTTTGATAAAAATACACATTTTAGAGTCCTTCTTTAGAGTCCTCTTTTCTTTTTTTTTTCTTCGACAGCCTCTCATAAAAGCAGTATGTCATCCATAATGTGCTAGAAGTTAGATGATGCTTAAATGTTCAGTTAAATTTATGAACGCAACAAAAACAAAATATTTAACTATAAAAATATAAGACGGTTATGATTGTTACTAAAATATTAAAAATTAAACACAATTATCCTTTTGTTTTTTGACAATCAAGAAGAATGTTTTTCACCAAAAATATTTTCAATTGATTGCATCAGTTGCTATTAACCTTAATAAATCATTAAGTGATTTGTATACTTGAATTAAAATAAAATGACTGTCAGTAAGGCTGCCTATCGGCTTCAGTGCATAACCTTTCCTACTCGCAAAATAAAATGTTACTTATACCATTCATATCATAAATAACTATCTTATTCAAAACACCTGCCTGTATGTGTTTGTCTATCTGTCCACTATCTGTGATCAATACTAACACCTCAACTGTAAAGAGGAATTGATAAACCTCAATTGATCTGACTGATGTAGGAGCCCCTCAAAATTTGAAACACAGTCTTTTAATTTTTGGGGGGATAATTATTTAAAGTTCTTAGGATGTTTTCAAAACATTCTCAAAAATTGCTCCAAAATAATGGTTTTTAAAAATTATTTTGCTGAAATAAAGGAAAATATACTTCTAATTACCTATAATTCATATTATTTGTAACAGCTTTGCAATGTTTTACACTTTAATATGTACCTGAAAATTGAATTCAACCAGTAAGAATTATTTATCTGTGATAACATTCAAACTAATTTCTTCTAAGTAAAAACACCACACACATTACTGCTACAACACCAGGCTGTACTCAACATTCCCGACACCTAAAAAACTTTTGAAATGCACTTTTGGACTTTGCACTTTTGAAATGTTTATTTTTTGTAATTTTTAAAAATACAGAGAGTTTATTAAAATGGGGCCAACACTAATTTTTTAACCATCCTTTGCTATTATTACTTAAAACTAATTTAAAGAAACACATTGGAGCCTTTTTTGAGAAAATAACTGTTGAAAAATTGCCTACATTTCACATAAAATTACACGACAACTACTAAAACTTTCAAAAAATGGTATAAGACTGTGTCTCATGATTTGTTGAACAGATTTCATTAAGAAAAAGTTTCTTTCTTCAATATTCTAGTTGTAGGTATACACCACAAAGTTTTGAACTTTTTCAATTTTCAAAAATACAGAGATTTTAAAATGAGACTTGCACCATTACTTTAAGTTTTTTTTACGCTATCCCAGGACAAAGTTTATTCAAAAAATTTGGAACCATTTTGGAGAAAATTTTCAAAATGTTATTGAGGCCTCAAAAAGCACAATATCAGTTTTATACTCGCAGGGTCTCGAGTTCGTTCACATTAATCAGAGAATATCAATTTCGAAGAAAATTGTTTGAACGGTTTAGGCACTAGCACTGACCACAGACGGAAGGACGAACGTTTTGCTGTCAACTGATTTTTTAGTATACAGGATCCATAATATGTATATTTTAACTACGAAAAGTGTTAGAGGAAGTAATTTACTATATAAATACTATATTAAATATGAAGATTAATACACTTTTTCTTCACTGGGGCCCAACAATAAGTTTTTCTGTCAGAAAATGACAGAAATACACTTTTCCTTTAATACATAAATGTAGTAAGACGAGAAAGTAAAAATAGTGCAGTGCAATATATGCAGTCCAAAATATGTGTAGTATTCATTATTTTACAAGAGAATTTTCTGAAGAGTATTATAAAATGTAATATTGAGAATACATTCCAAATGCCATATGTTTGTGGGGGTAGTAGTCTAGTAAAAAGTATATAACTCAGGAAAAAATCCCGGAAGTTTATTCCCAATGGTTCTATATGTTGTTGAGGGTGCTGAATCCGAATTTGATTTTGGCCACCTCAAAAATGCTTGGCATCACAGAGAAAATTGCAAATGATCCTAAGCATTTTTTGTTTTTTGCATGAATCTTCAAAACTTATTTATGTGGTCAATAATTGTTATTTACAAAAATATAGGGTCATATTTGCTTGCACAAAGTATCTGTAAATCCAAACTTTAGGTAACCAAAATAAGAGGGATAAAAGAAAATGATTACAAAACGTTCTGTACCATACAATATATTAATAAAAAAATTTGTACCAACTTTGTTTTGCAAATAAGTGCAAAATTATGAGTAAAAGTAAAAATAACCCTAACGAGGAAATTTTAGGCGATAAACAAAGTACTGAACCACATAATTTCATAGATGTTTGGAAATGCAAACTTCAGGTTAAAAAAGAGAGTATCACTGTAGAATAAAACGAGCGTAAGCAATTAGCTGACAACTCCAATTAATTCCAATTTTTGTTTTCTCAATTATGAATATTAGTTGTCTCATTATTAGCCCATCACTGATGTGTTACCAAGATATTCTATTGATTCTGTGAGTATTGGAGTGTTAATAATTTAACAATGCCACTTATTTGTCCACAATAGCTGTTTTCAAGCTTGATAGAGTGAAACTAGGCATCGCCGCAAGAAAGGGTGGCTAGAAAGAGCTTTGGCTAGAGGCTAAAAAAGTAACTGTTTATCAGCATGCTCTGGCACATAAAGCGTTTTTCAGCAAGTTAAAGTTAAAGTATGCCTTTCTAGGAAATTTTATCTACTTTATTTTGGTAAATAACAATTGTTTCAATAACATGCATAGTTTTGAAAATGTAAGCAAAAAACTAATAAATAAGAGCTTTTGTTTTGTTTTGTTTCTTTGTTCGTTTGCTTTTTTTTTTTTTTTTTTTTTTTTTTTTTTTTTTTTTTTTTTTTTTTTTTTTTTTTTTTTTTTCCCTTCCTTTCTTTTCTTCTACTTCGCACCTTCAAAAACCGCTGAGAAAAAAAATTATGGATTTTTTTTCAGGATCGGGCCCTTTTGAGCTCCAATTGACTTTTTGATGAATATTTATGATGTAGAATACTTTGCTATATTTACCAAGTCTTTCTTAAAACAGTGAGAACAAGTTATGCAGAAACACTTATAATAATGAATTTTTAAGCATATAATAAATTAAGTGACATCTCTAAACAAACCATGCTATTAGAAAAGTAATAGGTATAAAATGTTCCGTAAGTCAAAAATACTGTGTCATTTTTGTTAGAATTATTATAAACTATGACTTCAAGAGAAAAAAATTGTATGCAAAATGTAATCAAGTAAACTAAACATGCTAGTTGGACATCACATAGAATCAACTAGACATTTTGACTTTTCAACAAACTCACTTACTGAGATGACTTCATGTTCAAGTTATGTAGTGGCTCAATAAGGTGTAAATTTTGAAGAAGAAGAAAAAAAAAAGTCATATTTATCAACATACAACTAAATACCTTTTGGGTTTTTGAAGTTGAAAACTTTTGTGATGTCCCAGCTGAAGTTTAAAATCACATATCCTGTGTAAACAACAATCTGAGGATTCTATGGGTCACACAGGAAAATGTAGAGGCTGGATGACATCATGCTGCTTGGGTAGCTCCTTTACACAATTCATAAATAAAACAAAACACACAAATACACAAAACACACAACTACAGAGGTTAGGGATGTTAACAAAGGCAATGGTGTTAAGAGTCATCAGCCAGTAAATGCATTATCAAAATAATTGCATTATGAATTTTGATTCAAAATAACTCTTAGTAATTTGGAAAGTGCGATAAAAGCTTCATGATTTTGGGCAGCTCCTTTCTCTATGAAAGCATACCAAACTATATGGAAAGTCTAATAACAACTTATTAATAAATAGAAACCATATCATAGATTGGCAAGGAATAGAAACCTACATAATTATGCAAGGAATGAGATAGAAGAAATCATTACCATTCATGAAAGCATCAAAAGTACTTGTTATTAAAAATTTTGTTAGATGCTGCCTTCAAAGTGCAATTGATGGAAAGTAAAATAAAATGCAAAAACAAGACATACTATGCGCTTCTGCCCGTCAACAGCTTGGGGAGCACTTGCTGACTGTTGAGAAGAATTCACAGATTGCTGGAGAACACCTGACTGTTGCTGGGTCACACCTGTTACTTTTTGTTGGGCACCAGCATCTTGTGGTTCCTCCTCTCTCCTTGGAAGTATTTGTTGTTTCTCTTCAACCTCTAATCGCTGAAGTCGTTCGTATCGAGGAGCTGCTGTCTTTTGATACCTTTCACCAAGGTGAAGAACACTTCCAGTGGTTCTCATCTGTGGTACATTTGTAGCTTGGGGGAGATTCATGAGCAATTCAGGGATACCTATTTGTGGGGCAGATGGTCTCACGTTTGGTTGCAAATTCAGGTGCGATACATTAGAAGCGGATTGATGAATGTTTATTTGTGTCAAATTTGACATTCCTGCCCGCAATCCTAAATTTGGAACACTAGTTGGTGGAAGTGGGATTCCCAAACGTGGTCCACTTGATTGCTGGGATAATGTCAATGGAGGAACATTTGTTGTCAGCAGGGGCACATTGAAACTTGATAGGTTTGAAGCTGGACTTTGAGGCGCACACAATGATGAAATGTTTCCAGAAAGTTGTCGCATATGTAACTGCGAAGTATTTGTAGCTTGTTGCTGAAGACATAGCTGTTGCACATTTCTCAGAATTTGTGGTATGTTTGTTCCTAGTGATGGAATATTCAGACGAGGCACATTTGATACTACTTGAGGTATTCCAACTGTGGGTACATTAGATGAAAGCTGTGATGTGCCAACCTGTAGCATGTTTGCAGCTGGTCTTGGAGGATTTAACTGTGCTACATTCCTAGCAAGTTGTTGAGCTTTAGCAACTAATTGTTGCATCTGTAAATGTGGCATGCTTCCAGGCTGGGGTGCTCTCAGTTGCAAAATATTTGATGGTATTTGGGGCACCCTTACCTGCAGCCTATTTCCAATCAGCTGTGTTGTACTTTTAGCACTGTGTGCAGTATTAACACTTAACTGAGAGATATCTGGGACCAATGGATTCACATTCATTCTCTGCTGAACATTTAAAACATTTGGTTGAAGTTTTGCTGGTTGCACAGTGACTGCAGGCAGCTGACGTTGCTGAGACGAAGTTGAACATCCAGATGATGTCCTCCCTTGGGCTACATTCTGAGAAATGTTTATTGGTGATGCATTTACACCTTGTGGCACACCTAGGGGCATTGTATTTGCTGTCAAAGACTGAGCTCTGATGTTTCTCAATATATTTAATTGAGCTTGTAAGGCTTGTCCTTGCTGCATTAATGGCTGCTGCTGTTGATGTTGTAGCTGTAGCTGATTCTGTTGCTGCTGAAGTTGCAATTGTAATTGTTGCTGCTGCTTTTGAAGTTGCTGCTGTTGTAGTTCCAGTTGCAATAGCTTTTGTTGCTGTTGCTGCTGCAGCTGTTGTTGCTTATTTAAAGTAGATGTTTGGGTATGTATTGGGGGAATGCTTCTTGCACCTTGTAACATGCCTACACGTAACAAATCTGGTTGCGGAAATCTCAAATTGAGCTGTGACCTCTGTGCTTGTAAATGAACTCTGGGTGAACCCATTCTATTTTGTACCCATCCAACTGGCAGCCCACGCAGCCTTGGAACTCCTAACCGCAAGAAGTTCATTTGTTGTTGATTAAGAGATAACTGTGATGCTCCTGTTATGTTATGCATCATTCTCAGATTGGATGAGCCTAAGTTAGGCACATTCATTCTTTGCTGCAGAATACCCACTTGGCGCATATTCATCATTTTTTGCAACATGTACAACTGTCGCAAATTTGAAGTACTGTGTAGAGCATTAGCTGAAGTTGAGGCAGATCCTACCATTCCTTGACTTACACGACTAATATGAGCTGTCATCTTATAAGTGGGCTCTTTTGATACATTTGGAAGAGACGTTACAGGCACTGATTGTGTAGAACCAGGAACTGACTGCTGCACCTCAGTTTCTGATATAATCGCTTCTTGAGCTGTACTCCTTGCCTGCACGGCATTGTCTGATGGCACCTCTTGCTCTGAGAATAAAATTTTTTTGTGTTACTGCACTGTAAGAAACACTCCCCAGTCTCAAACTATTAATGAATAAGTCAATGTTATTTTAGAGCATAACTCAGATCTCATACTTCAGAATAATTTTAAATTAGAAACAGAAATAGTTTCAGACAGCATTTTTGTACATTTTTAACCCAAAAATTAACATACCTGAGACCTTAGAAGAGTGCATCTCAAGTGGTCTTATCTCTTCAGTGTAGTCCATTTCCTGTTTGAATATTGGCAATAACATAAGGTTATTCAGTAACTACTTTACCCAAAAAGTAACAACAGTCTCACTCAAATAAGGTATCTGAAATAGCCATAATACAACTTTGATATTTTGTCATCTTTTATATATAAATAACATTTTAATTCAGGAAAGTAACTAAAGTAATTTTTTTTATTCTAATTTACAGATGAACATAATTCAATGTTAGCTAATGTTAAAAACAATAGCAAAAAACACTACTGGAGGGGCAGACCTTGACATTCAATTTAGGAGTTAAGAGTCTGGTGAAATAAAAATATTTTATAACTTTCCACATATAAAATCAATTACAAACAAGATGTTCTTCAATTCATTTATTAAATTTTCACTCATGTTTTTTATTATTTAATACAAATTTTACTCTCTTAGATTTTTTCAACAAAGTTTATTTTTAGTTCTTAAAATTCTTTTTAGGGGTGTGAAAAAAAGAGACGAGGGCCAATGGGTACCAATGGCCTGGACCAACTAATCAGTTAGTGCTAGAAGGGTTTTCTTTAAAATTGAAACAAGATTTTTTTACTTTTTTTTCCTACAAAGAGAGTTTGAAGAAAGAACAATTTGTTTAAAAAACAATAGTGGCTGAAAACAACAATAAAACATGAGACAATGGGTGACTATTTTTAGGCAACCAAACCACAAAGAATATCAGACAAATGTGAAATAAAAACAATTGTCATTGAAGCCCTATTTGCCATTGCCAACTGCCATTGATATTTAAGCTACAAGAAAGGACAGATCTAGGAATGAAAAAAAAAAAAAAGAAAAAAGAAACATACATAACCATCTCATAGGACCCTACAATTTGTGGAAATTCATGTTGGTTAAACAGATGCAATTTGAGCATGTTCTACACAAGACAACACAAAATATGTACTCACAAATTCATTTTAAAAGTCAACTGTTAAAAGTTGGCCTCAATAGACATATGGTGAGACATTCCATTACCTTGGATCTTGACTGACTTTCAACATTTAATTCCATTACAAAAATGACTTGTTTTACAGAAATAAATTCTTATTTTCTGCACAGCAAAATCTAAGTTTTACAGTATAAAAATGATTTGCAGGCTTACATATTTTTCAGGATTATCTCCCTAACTGTTACACGCAATAGACCTTAGGAAAAGCCACACCAAGAATTATTTTGGGAACCATTTCCAGGCTAATGAAGAGTGGATGTGCAATGGTTTTCACACATGACAAGAAAATAAGTAATTTTTCTGTATTCAATATTTTTCCTGATAAATTTTTACATCACGAAAGGTAACACAAGTCTACATGAGACTGCCACTGCTGCAATTAAAACGTTTAAGATACATGTATTAAAGAAATTTGATTAAAATTAAAAGTATTTCTAATTACAATTTTCATGAGTGAAAACCAAGCATTTAAAATGATAATCTCACCTCTGCAAATTCTCCATGATCTATGTCCAATTTTTCCTCTGCAAACTCATAAGGTTCCTGCAAGAGGCAAAAGTATTTAATAGTACTTGAACAGAAAATACTGAAGAAGAAAAGTTTTTTTTCTAAGTGTAAAATACTCATTTATAAAGAATACTTGACAAAAGGAACCAGGATGTCATGTCACTCTCTCACAAAACATTACAAATAGTAAAAACAATTTAACTGAAGGATTATCCTTAAATAACTGTTCATAACTGATGGAGAAAGAGAAGTTATACAACATTCTTGAAACATTTACAGAATCAATGCAAATGTAATTTCAGTGTTCAGAAAAAAACAACAAACTAGTGGTGCAACTACAAAGCATACATTCTCACACTATTTGCAACAGTTATCATCATACGTGTGCACATAATGAGAGCCAAGGAAGGGGGAATGTCCCCCCTGAAAATTTCAAATGGGGCCCCATAGCCCTACCACACAAAATATTCATTTACATAAATATGATTAATTTCTTCTTGTTCACTTTTTAAGTTTTCAATCTGGGGAACTGATATACATTAGTAAAAGAGGCTCTCCAAAACATGGCAAAATTAATTGTATTAATCAATTGCATCATTACAAAAGTTTTAATTTCATTCTCCCAGTACGTTTTAATTATTTCCTAGTAAAACATGTTATATATAAAACAAAATTTTTAATAGAAAATAGGGGTAGGGGGCCCAGAAATTTAGTTGGGTCCCTCTTGCATTTGAAGCTGCTCACACCTATTGTTAATGTTATTCTTATTGTCATTTTTATTGTTATTGTTATACTTGTTATTATTATTACTATTATTATTATTATTATTATTATTATTATTATTATTATTATTATTATTATTATTATTATTATTATTATTATTATTATCATCCTGGTTTAGACCCATTAAGGGCAAAGGCCTACTGCATGAAGGATGGATGGTTCGTTTATTACTAATTTATACAATTATTGTAGTTGAATACTATTCACTAGTCACTTTCAGTTATTCTGCTTCTTTCTTTTCTAAGCTTTCTTAACACTGTACACTTCCTATCACTATTCATTTCTTACTCTTCCTAATTCACTAAACACTTTTACCATTTCCAAACACTTTCTTAACACTGGTGATAAACTAATTTGGACTGGGCCATTTTTTTTCTCAATATTAGTTTTTGATGTTTTTATCACTCTGTACCACTTAGTTCTTTCTTACCATTTTTATTTAATCTTTCTCTACACTTTTCTGATCTATAGTCTTATGTGAAAGTTCTTTCCACACTTCTTTCATACTTCTCTTGACTGTGCGTTCCAACTTCTAAGTTCTTACCAAACATAATATTATAATACTTCTTGAATACACACTATTTTTCTAATTTTTTTTTCAAAATTAAAAAATTTACAACAAAATAATGTTTAAGACATGTTATTCAGTGTAATTAGCTCTATCCTTTGAAAACATTTTTAAAAAGTTTGGAGACTTTGAGAAAATCTTGTTTCTAAAATTACCATAAACTGATCATATTATCGAAAAATTGCATATGACCTTACTTCAAGATACGTCTTTAAAGAATAGGAGGGAAAAAATCTCTATCTTCAATATTGTAGTTGTAGAGTGAACATTTTTACTTTTTCAATTTTCAAAAAATCTGCTACTTTAACAAAAAAGAGACCTATACCATTCTCTTAAGCATCTTTTATGCTATTTGAGGACAATGTTTAATCCTAGTTTTGGGACAATTTTTGAAAATGTTGTGGCTTAACTATACATCACATTCAAAATATCCATTTCAAACTCGGGAGGGGGGGCTTCGAATTCCTCTAAACTGAATATCATAAAATTAAATCACTGAAACTGAAAATCAATATAAGGAATATCAATTTTCGAGAAAATCGGCTTAACGGTTTTGGTGCTCTTTCGCCACGGACCGCCAGAGAGATTTTGACATCAATGGATTTTCCTCGGTGAAGGAACCCTAAACCTGAATTCTGGCTACACAACGTGTTAGAGAAAGTAATTTACTATACATAGGAACAAGATATCCACTTTTTAGTTATAAGGGCCCGACATATCTCTTTCTGTCCAAAATTTCCAGCAAACGGTTACAAGTTTTCCTGCAAACGGTTACAATACTTTTTCTTCTTGCCAAGGGCAAGAAAGTAAAAAAGGTGTCATTTTGAAGAAAATTTTGAAAATGTCATTGGGAACTTCATGTAAAGAACCCAAAAATATCAAAATATCCATTTCAAATTCAAGGTGCCTCAACATCAGCAGTTGGATCACGATAGATCAATTTTAATGAAAATCCTGCCTCTTAAGGTTATAGGGTTGGACCAATGGACCCGGATGGACCGGTTTCACTATACTACGTAGGGAGTATGCGAGAAAGTAACAAGCCACTGATAGTATGCAAATGAAGAATATGAGACATTAAAGGTACTTAAACTTTTAACTGCTCTGACCATCCAACAACATTAAGAGATATTGTTACCACATATTTATAATTTCTCATTAATAAAATTTCTAAAACTCATGACCATTTGACATCAGTCATAATTATTACCATCATAGGTGAACACGAAATTCTTATTCAACAAAAAGTAACGTACTTACATCAGATGTTCCAGGAAAATCCTCATTTATCATGTAAGATTCATCCACAAGAAAAGATTCATCCATCTGCAGACAAAAATTCAATCAATGCAGAGAGAAGATAAACTACTTCTATGCCCCAACATTTCATGCAGAGTAAGGAATGATTGACAGTAGAGACAGATTGAGTTCTTCTCCATAGTACAACACACACACTGTTTACCTGTTTTTCTGACATTGAATAAATAAATCCAGCTGAGAGGGGACAGGCACATCAAAGGGTCATTACCAAACTAAAAACTATTAAAATACGAGAAAAATTTACTGGATGTACACGCTGTACTGCTGCATAAAATTAAATATTCATGCCAAATGCAACCTGCAACAACTCGGCAGGATTTTTTAAAATATATATCCTTAAATAACTCCTAAACAAAGCATTCTAGGGCATTCAAAACTACAATTTTGAGGCCAGAGACCTCAAAAACCGTTTATCACACCATAATCCACAGGATGAGATCTTTTTTAACATTCTATTACATTTTTTCCTGGGGGGAGGGGTTAGAGAAGGGGAAACGAAGGGAGAGAAAGGGAGATGAAGGGCTGAATAATGTCTGTTGGTTCCAGAAGTACACTTATAAATTAGTATTAGGTGATCGCACAAAGAGTACTTCATGAGGGTTTACACTTTTACAATGAATATTGAGATTAACCCATTAACAAAGTCCCTTGATTAACAAAATTAATTGCTAATCCTCTTAGACACTCTCAAAAGGACCCTTTCTATTATTATCTGTGTATTAAAAACCATGATATCGAATTGAATATCTACATCTGCTCTATTACAGATTTATAATGTGAAAATTGTCAGTTTTAAATTAATGTCAGTGATTGAACTTAAGATCTTTCCGGCATATTAATTAATTTATTTATTTATTTATTTATTTATTTATTTATTTATTTTCAAAATTGCGGGCAGTCTGACTGATATAGTCTGTTTCATTCAACATTGTAGTATATAATGTTTTGTGTTTCTAAGTACTTCTTAAACAAACTAATAGCACTAATATTAATAACAGATCACCCTCACAATCACCCACTAAAAATTCTCACCTAACAACCATGTTCTACAAAACCTGTTGCGATAAACTTCTTTATGCTCTACTTCATTTGCATATTCAGTAAAAACTTTGTCCCAGAGGCTGAAAATAAGGTACCTCCTAAAAGTAAATAAGGTGTTTCAAATTTGCAGAACCACATCAGGTAGATCAATATGCAGGTTTGGGCAAATTACTTTAAATTTAGTATTCAAATACTTTGCCAAAATAGTTTGTAAATAACTATTTAACTACTACTCAAAATACATTAAATTTTGATTTCCAAAATATGTATTTAAAACGCTTGAAATACTCAAAATACAGTAAATACAATTGTATTATATATTTTTATTGCAAAAATTTATTGTAATTGTCAATTACAATAAATTAGTAATAGACCATCATACAAATTTCTGAACAATAACTAATTATAAAGATAATAATAACTACTATAAAAATAAAATCGATGAATTTTATTTTTATTAAAGTATTTTAAGTATTTCTTTTTTAAATACACCTATTTTATGAATTTAAATATATTTTCAGAATGTATGTCCAAAAATACAGTCTTCACATACAAAATGTATTTAAAATACAAGTATTTAACACTGCTCCTCCCTGTCAATGAGTTTGTGTCCCGACCAAATGTTTTTCTGACAAAATACTATACTACAGCAGCACTTATCCCAGCAGTATTACATAAACATAAGCTCTGTTAATAGCACTAAGTTAGTAATATTAAAGTCTATACCACAAGAGCCTCATATAAGATTGCATACAAATACATCGTCAACCTGTTGACATACAAGTCTACAAGTGAAAACACTTTTTTGTGCTGCATGAATTCATTTTGTGTTTATTAATACTATGATGAAACTATGAACTGGTTCAGGTCAAAAGTTTAATAAGGAAAGTCACAGATAGTACGATGACAGTTGTACTGCATAGAATTTGGAAAACTGAATTAATTTCAAAATATATTTGTTTATGATTGCTCATATTAGTACTTTGACGAAAGTGTAAAGAGATTACGTACTGAACAAGAAATTATATTCTAAGTCAGGGTGTCAAACTTATTTCATCAAAATGGCATGATTGTAACAAGTACAATGCATGATTTGCAATGATGTATCTCATTCTCTTTTTCAAATTGACACTTAATGAATAGTCACACTGAATTATAAGTTTCTATCTCAGTATTATAAGAATACCATTAACAAATAAATATATCAACAAATAATAGTATGACTGGTAAGCTAGTAAAAATATGTAATCATGATTATACTTTTCCTAGATTTGTTCTAGAGAATATGCTTTCAGTGTTTTCTGCAGCTTTTCTTCAAATTGGAAATAAGGAATGAGATTCTATATCTTTGCATCATATGGAAAGATTTTAATGTTTTCTGTAAATGAATGCAAGCCGCAACATCACAGTTTATTGAATGCATGCATTTCACAGAAAAACAAGTTTGACACCTCTCCTCTTAAAGGTAAATTAATATATTCACCTAAATATAAGTTGACACTGACTATGAAGTGAATGTAGGTCAAAATAAATAAATAAATAAAACGACTTTCTAATTTTGAAGAGGCCTTCTGAGGATTTTTTAGATTTTCAACTAATTCTTACTGTTTAGTCGAAATAAAATTGCTTTCTTGAGAATGTTAAGACTTATTTCTGAACTACTGCTTCTTGATCCTTAAAATAATCATTATCATGGCTTTTGTCACTACCAACATCATCCTCACATGTATAAATGTTTCTTTCTTTTTGGTCCTCCTTCCATGCTGCAACATCTTCTAACTTTCTAGGCCCCTGTGAATGTTTTGCATCTTACATTTGCATTGTTCTTAGTCTTTTATCAGACACATTGTTAAGTCAACATTTATAAATTTTGTGACAAGGATTGGCAATGTAAAAACTTAAAATCTAACTGACTAGGCTTAATATGTGAAAATAAAACAACCTGACATTTTTTGACCTTATATTCAGGTAAATACAATAGTATCAGATGTGGAATTATATTGGCATATATTTATATTAATTATTATATAATTATATTGGTATTATCAGTGGTGGATCAGTGAAAGATCAGTAAAAACTGTATGTGACGTAAGGGTTTTGTGCAGATATTCTTCAGCTCCTCCAAAACATTTAACCATAAACAGTTGAAAAAACGAATGAAAGTTAAAAAATAAGATTAATAATAATAATAATAATAATAATAGTAATAATAATAATAATAATAATAATAATAATAATAATAATAAAATTAAAAGTGTGAGATTAGCAACATTTGAAAAAAAATTCACTCCAGAGCTATAGAAAACGTATTTGCATTGGTAAATGAATAGCAGATTTGATGTTTTGCATGGCTAATAAAATAGTAAAACACTCCCAGCTCTACTCCAACGAATACAAGCAAAAGGAGAGCTCAAGAAAATGTGCACATAGTGAAGCTACATTTACGTCCACAAGCAAAACAAGGGGCCATATCAGCATTTGATCAATGGTTCAAGAAAACTAGAAAAAAATCTGATCGAGATGGAAGTCATTGACTCAGGAGCTGAAGTACTTGTTACAGACATATTAAGTCATTTACAATAATTATACAATACAAATGTCAACTAGTGCATTAAATAACACCATTAAAATAAACATTTTTTTTTAAATTAATGGCTGGAAGAAAGTTTTCAGTTTTGAAGCGTGTCAAAAATTACTTAAATATAATAGTATATATATATCCTATATATATATATATATATATATATATATATATATATATATATATAGTATATATATATATATATATATAATGTTATTAGAATAAATTACAATAAATTGCTCCAATGAAAAATCAAGTAGTAGTTGTAGTAGTAGATAGTTGGTAGACATAATATAAGTGACAGTCCACAAAATGCAAAAAAACTAAAAAAGAGATCATTCACGGTTTGAAAACAAAAAAGATCAAATAATAATGAAATAGAAACTAAAAAAGGGCAAATGATAACAATCTTAAATTAAATAACAAATAATAATAAAAAACACAAAAATTATATCAGTACAGTATGTAACTCACAATGCATGTGGTACCACACAACTGATCACATGCAAACTCTTTTCTTTGTACCAAAGATATATTAATAATTTAATGCATAATCAACATTATTAGTTCAATAGTTTGAGTGTAACTTTCATAGTTTTCAATAATCATGAAGAAAAAACTAAAAAATTAGCTTAATTTTCAGGATTAAAAGCAAATTATGGACAATGATATTAGTATTTTTATAAGCACATATTAAATATTCTAATATAAAAAAAATTAAGTTAACAAGATGTATCATAAGTTTGTTTGTTTGTGTTTTAATACCCATTCTAATTATGTAGTTTTAAAGGTAAAATTCAATGATAATATTTGAATCAGAATAGAAGAATGTGACTATTATAAAATGACAATATTCAAAACATTCCATATCACTATGTAATATCATTAAATAAGTTGGTAAAAGAAACTATAGATTTTTCTTTAATTTTTTTAAATGAATATCATTGACACTTCGAAGTGAGAATGATATAAAGATATGTGTCAGATTTTTCCAAATTTGTGATGCTATAATAGAATTATATTGATATCAAATTTCAACCAATTTTAACATTTATAAACATTTGTAGGAAAATCATGTTAACTGGTCTCAGTAAAACTTTCATCTAGTTATTTATACCCAGGCCCATTGACACCTTTATAATCCCCTTCAAATGAAGAAGAAAGTCTGCTAGTATAAGAACAACATGTGAACCTATAAGTTTCCAAACAATAAAAATCTTCTAACTACAATTTTAAAACAATATAATTTTACCACTCTCCAAAGCTTTAATAAGCATCTCAATATACATTATAAACATACTACAAATTGAAGGAAAATGAGAAGAAGATAGATAAAATTTTCATACTATAAATAATGGAATGTGAGAAGAGCATGCAGTTTATTTAAGTAATGCACAATTGAGGTAAATGGGCCCAAAAAATACATTAATAATGAAACAAGTGACATACTTCTAAGGTGAAATGTGTCATATTTTCTTCAACTTCTCCAACCTGAAGCAATAAATTTATGAAAGAGACAAAACATTGGAATTATCCAGAAGAAAATAATTGTAATTTATCAAATTATCAATGTTAGCCAGAGGACTGCAAATGAAGTGGAGTTTTCAAAGCAAAACCAAACAATAATAATTGATATGGATTAAGTAATGCACAGTGGTTAACACAGTATATTTTGAAATGTGTAAATTTTTCAGCAATAAAACTTAGGCTTTTTCATATTTTACCAAAGCTTTCCTAATTACAATTTCATGTATATAGTTACTGAAGTCATTCTAAAATACCGTACTTACATTTGGTGTCAGATTGGGGAGGTTTTCTTCTTCTGCTGCTGTATTTTCACGCTGAAAGAAACCAAGAAAAACTAATATCCCTAGTGAATCAACATCAACAAAAAATACAAGAAACAGACAAATTTTTATTTACGAGCGGAACAACACATTGTGTGTTAAATAATTATTTTTTATTGAGAACCTTCACAATCCATTTCCTAAGTACCGTATATTCAACATTTACCTAGCCGTATCACAATCGCTTCAAAAAGTGTACTTGACATCTACTCTAACACAATGAAATCGAGACAATTTTTGTATTTTGTCAATTCGAAATAAACTACACACGTAGTTACTACGCTCTATTTACCGTCTTTTCAGTTTCCAAATCATTCGTATCCATAACAACAGGATCACTCATCACGATTCTCGAAAACTGTCACGAGAAAAGAGTAAGACGATAGTTTATTTGAATATTTGTTCACTGTCTTTCCAATCCGCGCATATAAGAATCATGTTCGCTTAACAATTATTTCCTTCACACATTAATTCCAAAATCATAACCTTCATCACTCGAAAGGCGAACAACGCGCCGACCTGTGCTACCCAATGGTCAGATCGATATCGTCATGTGCTGCCATCTGACGGAAAGCCTTTCCAGGAACACCAATAATTATAAAAACTATATAGTGGCGTTCATGATGGAAATAATGGGCTAATAAATGTATAGTTGGGCTCGTGGTGTTATTTCCACCATGGGCGGACTGAGCAGCACACTCAAGAGGGCTAAATGGCGCTCTTGGTAGCCAGGGGCGGATCCAGCGGAGAGCCATGACCCCTCCTAGAAGGCTTAGTTTTCGTTTGTTACCTTCCTTTATTTGAAAAAAATTTCATAAATATTTATTTATCTTATTATTACGTAATTATTTTTAAAAGAGTGTATATTATCATATATACACTACAAAAATAATATTCAATATAATAACAAAAATGATTATTATTTAACAAACATTTATGATGGTCCCTCCCAAAATGATGGGCTACATCCACCCCTATTTGCAGCACTCATCAATTTCATTGTCTATAGCTCCAAATTTGTTCTTTACATTTTTCTTACAAAGACAGGTAAAGAAAGTAGCGCTGGACCCATTTCAGCGAACAACAGAAAATTAACATTGCAAAAGCACAATACATATTATAGAGATTTCTTGTTAAATTTAATGTTCTAAAAAATAAGTTCTTTAAAAACGGTCATGTACATTAAAAAAAACTATTAGTTTAGCATAATTTTGCATGTTTGACTTCTTTTGTTAGAATCTTTCGGAGGTCATTAAGTGATAATACAACAATGCGAATGTAGCGACATAGCAGTTTGAAATTCTCATAATAAATTCTCATTGTGGTGCGGTGTTTTTAGGTATTTGGTGTCGTTCTGGCTTCTCTCGACCACGCAGCCGCCATTACGACGCTCGTTAATTCTCCAGTTAAAAGTTCTTATACTAGGTGATTTGGGACAGAGTACATTGTTATCCAGTCGGGAGCTTCATCTTTTGAAATTGCTTGAAGTTAATGTTCCTCCCCTCAGCAATGGCAAGTGCTGATTGGTTGTTGCGTAAAATTGTTTGATAAAAACAGGACCTGTTATATTAGATAATTTTTTATGACACTTCAAATTTTACCATTTGAAAGGTCGATTTTATAAAAGTTTCGTTTTATAAAAGGTTTTGTATAACAATTTTACGAAAAATATCACAGCGCAGCGAGCAATATCACGCGTTTTGAACCTACAGGATTACTTGGGCCCGAGCCTGAAGACACTTGGCTTCACTGAACTCCTTGTAATAGGGTTACGGTTACAGTACATACAATTAAAATTATTTACTATCATAAATAATAGCAATATAAGTAAATGTTTTGATGAATACGTGGCCTGTAACAAGCTTTGCAACATTTAATGTGTGAATCTCATACATACTCATACATGACATAATTCGTTACCAACACAATTAAACTTTCGCAATTTTCGAAAATTAAAAAATTTTAAAAAAATAGGATCAATGTGACTTCTGCAAAAGTACATTACTCTATTCTAGCAACTATTTTAAAGAAAAAGCCTGGAGTCATTCTAAAAAAAAGTATTGAAAATGTCCCAGGGACTTCATGTGCAGTACACCAAAAAATTTAAAGATTCGTATCAAATTAGTAAGTCGTCGAGTCAGACCAGATGGATCGGGGCAAATTATTTGAGAGAAAATCCTACGAATGGATTAGACACTAGTGTTGTTCACAAACGGACGTACAGAGAGGCTTTATGAAAAAAACTTTGGGAACCCCTAGGAACTACCAGGGAACCCCAAAATCTCCTCATTAATTTACCGTAGAATTAACTTGCTCTACGACGAGAAAGTCAAAACATACCAAATAGAAGCAATGCTTATGAACTCGTGGTGGCTCGAGCCTTCGAAAGTTGGGAGATTCACGAAAAATACTGACCATGGGGCGAGGGTACCCAATGTCTGAGGATGGCATTTAATGAATTTATATGCTTCAGAAATACACTTCCTGCATATTTCGCGAGTTTATTTTTCTTTGAAATATTTTTATTCCCATAAAATTACGTGACCGTAGTTATCATTACGTACAATTTTAAATAATCTAATGGTGAACGGGACAGACTTTCTCGAACTACTTCTTTAGAGTCGGGGCTAGATTTTCGGAATCTCCTTCCCAGCTGTAATACATCGGCGTCTAAAAAATCTACCAGGGCCTCCCTTGACACCTGCTGCTCTCCCGGGGACAAAATTCAGTGACATTCACAACATTTGACTGTCAAAAAAAATTGTTCGTGTTGGATCCCACACAATTTGTCTATCGCTCGCTCAAAAAAAGGCTCGTGTCGATTGGTCAAAAGATGCTCAAAATATACGATCGCGGTGCTTCGAAACACGTCTATGACATCGTGACAGGTGATGAATCGTGGATTTACGCGTAAGAGCCCGAAAGTAAACAGCAGTCGACAGTATGGGTGTTTCAAGATGAGCAAAATCCAACAAAAGTTGTTCGCGCACGAAGCACTTCCAAACAGATGGTCGCCTGTCTTTTTCCTTAAAAACTGGACATGTCGCAACCGTACCACTAGAACAACGCAGAACAGTAAATTCTGAGTGATACACAACGATTTGCTTGCCAGCTGTCTTCCAAGAAATCAGGAAAACCAACCGCCGAAGACGGATCACTCTTCACCACGACAATAAGAGCTCTCACACATCGGCTGAAACAACTGCATTTTTGTGCACCCAAAACATCGATTTGATGAGTCATCCGCCGTACAGTCCTGACTTGGCACCGAATGACTTCTTTTTATTCCCGTACGTAAAAAACTGAGTGGTCAACGTTTTTCGACACCTGAAGAAGCGGTTGCTGCATTCAGAATGCATGTTTTGGAGATACTTCAATCAGAGTGGCAAAAGTGCTTCAACAATTGATTCAAACGCATGCAAAAGTGTATAGACCTTCATGGGGAATATTTTGAAAAACAATAAGTAATTTTCGATGATTAATATTTGTTTTTGTTCTTTAATCTTGAAATATAAAAGGCAACCCTCGTATTTAATTAATTAAATGTATATTACTTATTTGTATATTGGTATTTCGGGTCCATTTGGGTTGGGATAGACTTTGGCGGATAGCTAAAGGTGTCCCCCATTCCTGGGCCTAGTTCATCTCCACGCTTGGGGGTAAGAGAGATACGTGGCGAACATGAGGTATTCCCTTCATCGTAACTAGAAAACTCCGCATGCCTGAGGTTGTTTTCGTCAAACAGCTACAGAAACAGAGATTATTTTGAAGAAAAGCTACAACTCTATTTTTGCCCCGAACGGGAATTGAACTCGGGATCGCACCACGGGAAGCTAGTACCCTGCCCACGGGCCACTCTAACGCTTATTTATGTATTTATTTGTTTATTTATTTATAGTCAAAAACGGTTTAAACTGTGTGGCATATTATGGAAAGATGTGCATTACTTTCAAGGTTAGTCATGCAGTAATACGTCACATCCGCGTGTTCCTCATAATATTACCAATAAATAATTTTAAAATCTTTAGATGCAAAATACAAAAATTAAAATGAATAAGAAATATTGAAAAGCGGTGATTTCATTCTTCATTCACGGTGGTAGTTTTTTGTTGTTGATTTTTCCCCCTTTTATCAATAAAAAGATGTAATGTTTACAATAGAATTTGTGCATTCAATATTATTAAAGCAGTCTGAGATATCCTGACTATTCTTTCTCTTTTGATGTTTCCTTAATTCTTTAAGAATCTCAGGTCGTACGCTCTTTCGCTTGATGTTTGCTCTTCCTCTCTTTTGGCACATCTGCCAAGTCTCGTATCTCGTGCATTCTGCTGACCCCACGCGACTGAAACCTAAGTAGTTAGTTAACGCTTGCTTGTAAATTGCGATAGAAGAGTACAGTCATTTCTCCTCAAAGAAATAGAACAAGTTATGGCTTTTAACATCGATTTTAATAACCGAATTGCATTGATGTTGCATTGATTTTAATAACCGAATTGCTTGGGAGTTTCAAATATCGCAGTAAGTTAGTTCACAGTGTACATTTACACAAACCAATGGATATGCACAAAGGTTGGTGATATCAAATTTCCTATTCAATATTTTATTCACGCAGGCATCTTGTTACAAATATACGCAAGAAATCATATTATAATTTAATGAGACTATGTGAGTTGAATTTCAAAAAAGAAATTTGAGAAATGGAATTAGAAACTTTGATTCTCCAGGAAGTTCTGACGCAAGACACAAGCGTCTTGACGCAAGAAAATATTGATGTCAAAGTCAATTTTATCTTGTTTATTCGACATTCCATTATGGTTAATTGGCGAAACGTGCGAATGTTCAAATCCTCAATTTGGTCCATCTGTTTGAAAAATATGTTCGTCGATTTCAGAAGTAATAATTATTTTCTTCAACATCTTCTGGCGAAATTGTGACGATGGATTCGCATTTTTTTCCGAAGCGTCCTGCAACTAGTAATAATACAAAAAAATAAAATAAATGTTTATTTATGATTTGGAAAATTATCAGAAAAGGAAACAATTAGCACTAAAAACGCATTTGTAGTATTAGCTCGACTTTTTGTTCTGAATACAGCAGTCACGAATCCAGGAAGAAATTGTAAACTTCACTTCGCTTGAACATTTTTAAATTAATTAAAAATACTCGGAAACGAAGGTGTGTAGTTTTTCAAATATCGCTAATCTCGCCCTTTTTAAAAATCTTCTCAATAATGATAAATAGCAGAATCGTTATCATAATTATCACATCATCATTCAGGTGTCATTTCTTGTTGGAAAAATTAAATATTGCTTATTTAAAATGAGGTCATTATCAGCAACTACAGTAGAATTATTCAAGATTATTTTCTCCGATATCGGCCGTGATTTGATTTAAATAGATGCAAATTGGGAAAACAAAAGACGTACTTTGTCGGGAAGAACAAACATAATTATAGCGAACATGGAGGTCTTTGATCCCAACCGCATCTGGCAACGGAGTGCAATGCGTTGCTCCAGTACAGGTTTCCCAAACTTTTTCTTTCATCGACTTCTAGTAATTGTTTGTTTGTTTGCTTGATTCATCATTTACTGTTTGCTTCATCGACTCCCTTACATTTTCTCTATTCTATACAACATCTAGAATCATAACACAAATAATTGCATGTAAATTCGTTAAATATAGCCAAGATTCTCGTAAATATCTTTGTGAATGCATAATTTAAACTTGAGTTTTATAGACATCTGAGCTCCTATAGATGAACGACGGATATGAAATAAGGAAAGAGGAGCGAATTTGTAATTAAGTATTATTAGTTTACGTAAATATTTTGTTGCTTTATATCAGAAAACTATGACCAGTTCATTCATATTTTTGATTGTAATCAATGTAATCTTAATTATAATTATCAGTTGCCGGTTCATATTCGGCTAACCAGGGGCGGATCCAGCCGATCATTTTTGGATCATAATTAACATATTTGTTGTATATTATTTATGTGCTATATATACTATACAATATTGCTGTTTAAATAATTACATTATTCGATCATAAATATTTAAATCAATTTTGCCAAATAAAGGAATGTAAACGAAAACTCGAAGCCTTTTTTGGGGGGGAAGGGGTCCCCCCCCCCTGGATCCGTCAGTGGACAAATGGCCCCCAATCGAACTCTTGATCATCACAGACCCTCTTCGAAATTCCATCGACCCACAGGGGTCGATACCAAACCCTTTGGGAGCCTGTGCTCCAGTGGGACAACTCAAGCCCCTGATTTGAAGTCATCCGTAAAGAAGGAACAGATGTCGTCCAGCCGCTGCTACTGTAGTTTACTTCAATCTGTTCTGGGCTAACCCGGGGCGCTCTTCAAACCAACCGAATCTGGACGATGACGACCAAGTACAGAGAACTAATAATGTTTTCAATAATTCTAAAATAATGAGTGATGATTCAGATGGCTGAGATACGTAGGTGTTTATCTTTGAGTTTCTCGTCACAATAACTTGTTGAAAAAATGCAGTATCATGCGATATTTCAACCCACGCGATTACGCCTCGGTTGCGGAAATAACTGTCGGTTATGTGTGGGGCAATTATAATGCGGCGTTTTAATATTGTGATTTTACACTGGCTTCTCCATCCGACTTAGGAACGTGCATATAGCAGCTAAGCACGACTTAAGAGTAGATTCGAACAGACAAGAGTTATGAATAATCTTAAAAATTTAGGTGGAACCGCTCCTCGTGTAAGTGATGAAATGAAACGCACCAACTATCACAAAATTGTACACCTAACATGATAATTAAATGGAATATTTTCATCTGCAGGAAATATATACTGTTCTAGTAGTAATTTTTAGTTCACGCTCATGGAAGCCTGTGTAAAAAATTATAATAAAAAGGCAAATGAAGAGGAGAAGAGAATAAACAAAATTTGAAATACTACTGAGTGAATCTGGTGACGCTACAACAGCAAATACTTTCTCGCATTACTTGTGCAATTTTCGAAAATTCAGAGAGTTCAACAACAATGAGACCTGTGCCATTTTTGTAAGCGTTATTTGATATATCCGAAGAAAACATTTCTTGCCTATAAACAAAAGAACATAAATTGCCTTTATTTCAAGAAAAAACGACCCTAAAAACTACACGTATCTTCAAAAACTTGTACATGACCTTAGTTAAATGCACATTTTTTAAGAACAGATTTCATTCCAGAAAAATCTCTATTTTCAATATTGTAGTTTTACAGCAATTTTTTTTTGTTGTTGCAATTTTCAAAAATTCAGAAAGTTCGGAAATGGGACTGTGCTACTTTTATAAGCTCTACTCGAGAGAATAAATTAAAGAAAAAAGGTGAAGCAGTTTTTGTGAAATAATTTTTTTAAAAGTGTGTAGTTATACTATAATTCTAACATAAACATAATATTTTTGAAACGTTCTGTAGCCTCTGTTACACCACTCACATCCCTCCTCAGTCAAAATTGTGCTTCTTTTTATTTTAATTTTTCGTCAACTTAACACTATTTTATCTGATTGAAAAAACATGAAAAATAATAAAATAATTTAAACTATCAGACAACTCATTTTGGATATTTTTGGTGCCAAATTAAACGCATTTAAAAAAATAAATAAACTAAGTTTTACTGTTTTAGAATCCCGGAATAGGCTTGAACAAAATCTCAAAAGTTATTCTTAAAACACAACAGTGATTTTTTTCAATTTTTTATTGCTGAGCTGTAATTAAAAAAATAAAACTATTTTTACAATTTTAAATCACATACACTTTGAAAATGGCTGTAACAATTCTGTGCGCGCATTTGAGTGTTTATTATACATTTGTAATGAAAATTGTTCTGTTGTCCTAAAAAACAATAGAGAAAACAGGTTCGCTTTTTTCTCAGTGTACACTGGGCATTAAACAAATATAGTGCATTAGTTACAATATATCTTACATCATAATGGAAAAACATACAAAACATAATAAAATAAAGAGGTATACTCATCGTCATTCGTACAATTTTACTTTCTCTCTTTTTCAAAATTTCAAAATTTTCACACTGTCTGTTCACGCTAGAACAGCCGGATCACAGAAAAGTTAGTTACTCAATGACTTTTTTGAATCCGTACGTTTCGAAGCGTTGACTTTTTTTTACTTTTGACCATCTGTTAAAGAAAGTCGTTTTACGTGGACAACGGCCTAAAGTTTTCTGAAATATTAAAAAAGCTAGTAAATTTGTAATAGAAAGCCTTGCCTCCCTGACTCCCGTCTCTGGAGAAAGGTTACATAAATGAACCAGATTTATTCACGTTACCTACAATTCAAGATTTTTTTTTTACGAAAAATTACCACTTATCGCTGCAGCATTACAATACTTTAGTACTACTTACTTTACAATACTACTTACATTATTGAATGATTGATTAGTGATTCCGGTCAACAGCTAAGATCATTATTCCCGTAAGTGTAGTGCATGATTTATCGCGGTAGTTGGCGGTGATCTTCCCTCACTGGATGGAGAGATCTGGCGCCGACCTATCCGTCGGCTTACGGGGATTTTCCAAAAGAGGCACCTCCAACCAGCGGGGCACCACCCCAGCTACGGCGAGCTCTAAGATTCCGACCTGCATTGCGGGAAGCATAGTGCGTGTACGTGTCCAAGTAAGGGGGGAGGATAGGACAAGGACGAGGAACGAAAGATAGCGTGTGGCCTGTTTGTTAGGGTTTTGCTCCGGCATTCGCCTGGTGCAGATTGGAGAAACTTCTTGTTAGGAATTTGAAAATTATTGACATGGTTATTATCCGCTTGTTATTAAAAATATGAGGCAGGTGGTTACTAGAATTTGATTTATTGCGACTGTGGGTACCAAAATTAATGAGTATTCACTCGGAACTGAAAATTCAGAAACGAATTCGGCAATATTTGTTGTATTTGAAGTTTGGGTGTAAATACTGAAGTTGAAAGAAAACCACTTTTCACCACTATTTGCATATAACCTTAATGAAAAAACGTATTACATTTTTAAGACTGTAATGAGATTCATTGGATTTCAGTTGTCTTAAAACTAATATGTTTTGTCATTAAGGTTAAATTCAAAGTTGTGAAATGTTTTTTCAATTGTAGAACGTGAGAATAAAATGATTTTGCGAATATGAGTAAATATGTATATGGAATGATAATTTAATTTATTAATTTAGAAAAGTTATCTTGAACGTGAATATAATAAAAATGTATGCTGTGAGCTCCGGATGTTCTCTCTTTTGGTAACGCACGGATTTTTTTAAAACTTGATGTAGCTAGGATTACGGGAAGAACGCAAGGCACACTGTTGTGAAGAATTAAATCAATCTAAACCCGTTCAAAGACAGATTCCGTCGTTAGCCAGCGTTACTAGCTGAGCTTCTTAGGTACGCTTTATTGAAATGTAAGTTCAGCAATTCGAGACACCACGGATGCCTGGGTGGGTGACTGTCTGGGAACTGATTACTAACGACGCCGAGCCCCTTACCGAAGGGTTAAAAGGCAATGACTGACTGCAACGTTTCGAGACAAAAGACAGAACTCAACGGAGGATTACTCCATTTATACATACTCTCAATGATCAAAAGACCTAGTTGCAAGAAAAAGAAGAAAAAAAAGGCTCACTTGGTGACGAAATGAAGGCGTCCGGGAGTCAGCGTGCCCCCGCTCGGGCGGCGACTGTACCCGCGGCGCGGGGGCAGCGTGCGTCGCGCCGGCCGCGGTCAAGTTCATCCGCGGAGGCGGCGCGCGGAACAGTCGCCGCCTGGACCATGACGCGCGTGCACTCGGCGCTGGGCGCGCTGCTCGCCTTGGCGGCCTCGCTGGCGGCCTGCGCGTCCGCCCTGGAGGCGCGCCCGTGCCGCTGCGTGCGCTTCACCACGGACTGCTCCTCGCGGCAGCTCACCCGCGTGCGGGAGGGCACCGTCTGCTCCCACGCCACCAAGCTCGACCTCAGCAATAACGACTTCCGCGAGATTCCGCCGGGACTCGGCGTCAACCTCACCGAAATCGACCTCTCGCGGAATCGCATCAACGTGTCCACGCCCGCGCTGCGCGCCATGTCCAGACTGAGGGTGCTCAACTTGAAGGTGAACTCGCTCACGTCGTTGGATTTCTTGCCCGACACGTGCGTGTTGAGGAGTTTGGACGTGTCGGTGAACGACATCGCGGGAGTGGGAAGCGCCCTGTGGAGGTGCTCGCAGCTGGAGACGCTCGATCTCTCGTTTAATAAGATCACTTCGCTGAACGAAAGCGGGTTTGCTGTCCTGACGCGACTCAGGAGGCTCGACCTGTCGGGGAACAAGTTGAGCCACCTGCCGAACGGTGCGTTCCTCGGCCTCTCTCAGGTGAGTTCGCCCGTCTCATTTGTGTGTGACAGCTCTGCAGTGGAGGAAGCGTTGCCAAGCCAGAGCGCCCGTCACGTCCTTGCTGCATGCCCGCCCGCTCTTCACGGCATAACAAACAATAATTTCAGTGCAATCAATAACTGAAGGGGTCGGGGGGAACACAGCGCTGATCTACATATCTATAATTTTTATCAGCCGAAGAAAAAAAAAGTTTAGAATAATGAGACGTGTCTTATTTTCTATAAACACTTTTGGCAGCTTTCTACACACATATTGTAGTACTATGAATACATTTGGTTAGTATTTCGATCATGATGTTTGATTTGAGGAGGCATTTTCAGACCTTTAATTTTGATTTATAAAATGAGGGTTAGCAATATCTTCTTCTAATCCCTTCAATTACATTTTGCCAGTTAACGCGTATAAACTTTCATTAATTCCCCTACCTATGATTAAATACAATGAAACCTGTCTTAATCAATCCTTCACGGTTCTGCAGAAAATTGGGGGTTTATGGAAGTGGACAAAGGTTATTAGGAAATGAGAAATTCAGTTCGTATTTTAGAATTTGCATAAAATCAAGTCTGATTCGCATGCTAACTATTTAAAAAAACACTTCACACTATTTTACATGAACAAATATTTTTTACGTATTTTTTCTGACAATGAGAAACGCTTCGATTCTGCAGCGCAGTTTCTTAACCTTTTCCTCCTCCTGTAGCACCCAGAAGGTTGAACGTTTATAGTGGGTTGATACTGTGGCAATAGTTCTAAGTACTGGCGGCAAAAAATCCACATTCTTCGAATATAAAAGAAAAGAAAATTTTAAAAAACGAAAATTTGAGAACTAACGAAATTTACGCGCAAATTAGATCAGACCTGTAATAACGCGCGAGCCTGCGATCGCACCCGACTTTAGTATGTAAAAACCTTTGCCGGTTGCCTGGCCGTCAGAATTGCAGAGCACTCGCGGTTCGCAAATGACATCCCCATTCTACAAAAGCGCATAGTTTTGCAAATGCGATGTTATGCAGGACGCAACAAAATCGAAAAATCACGCCTCTGGCCGGGAGGCCCCAGGGTTCGAGTCCCGACTGTGAAAGGATTACCGATATTAGCTAGATAGCTATGTCGAATTCAGCCACTGTATGGAGGAGAATTCTAGCGGCCGGCTGTCCTAGTCGGTAGTTTTCTTCGATCAACACCAGGCGAATGCCGGAGCTGTACCCTAAAAAACGGGCCACAGACTGAGCGCTATCTTTCCTTCCTCTGTCTTGCTCTATTCTCTCCCCGTACAAAGACACTAAGCACTACACTACCACACATTTCGGGCGACCAGTCGGGAACTTTGAGCTTGCCCCGATTCGGGCAGTGCTACGCTGGTGGGAGATACCTGGTTGGGGAAAACCTGACAAGCCGACGTGTAGGTCGGCGTCGAATATCACCATCCAGCAGGGGAAGATCACTCCCTCCTGCGGTGATAAAACACGTATGGCACTTATGGGACTAATGGCTACTATAACTACTTATGGATACTATAGCTTCTATGACTACTATAACTACTTATGGCTTCAGCAGTTGACGCCCCCGGAAAGATCAATCAATCAATCAATCAATCGAAAAATTACCCCCACTCCAAAAACAACAACAAACTTTCTACAGGAATCAATGTTTCAAAGGTCAAAACGGCACAGGGCATATTTGTTGTTAATATTACAAACTGTATGTTTTTTTGTTTGTTTTCGTTCGCAGCTGAGCTGGCTGTCGCTACGCGCGTGCGGCCTGTCCGCACTGCCCGACGGCGCCTTTCGCGGGCTGTCCGCGCTGCGCCAGCTGCACCTGCAGCAGAACCCGCAGCTGGCGACGCCGCTGGCGCCGGCCGTGCTGGCACCGCTGACGCAGCTGCAGGGACTGGAGCTGGACCGGCTCGAAGGCGACGCCTCGGCGCGCACTCAGCGGTGGGCAACCCAACCCCGACAAAGTAGACGGGAAAGGGAAAGGAAACTTCACGCCCAGCCAAATTCGGACTAACAAATTACGATTCTTGCTCTTAAGAACAGACACAGAATACTCTGGCGGGGGGAAAAATTGTACGTTTAAGAAGCAAATGCCATCTACATGCTTGCATGGTACCTTCTTCATTTAACTTGGAATCGTACCGTTGACTTGTCTATTTATTTACGAATCTGTGTTTTTGTCGAAACTAACTTATTTAAGGGTGGTAACATTTTCATGCAATGCATTTATTTAAAATTACAACACACATCGTAGGAATCATATTCATCAGGTGTCAGTATCACCAGCTCACTACAAAAAATTCACGAACAATACATATGTACATTAATTTACAACACAATGACTTCTATTTGGTCAGGTTTTTCGACCATTTTCCCTATCCATTGAGAAAATGCTGAGATGACCCTTGTTTTGCTTCTGGATGTAGCTTCACTGTGCGGACGTTTTTATTGAGCTCTCCTTTTGCTGCTTGTGGTACGAGTTGAGCCGAGAGCGTTCATTATTATTTTTTTAGCAATGCTTTAAAATCAAATCTGTAGTTCGCTTACCGATACAAATAAGTTTTCTGTAACTCGAGAGAGAACATTTATAATTTTCAAATGCTAGAAACCTCCTTTGTGGGTACTTTTATTATTTATTCAACTATTATTAGAAGTGTGGGAAAGAAATTCTGGAGTTGAACAATACGAGCGCAGATTATACTTCTCCTCCATACGCCAACAACAACGTCCAATAGAAATAAAAAAACAACAACTCTACCTCCATGTAATTTGTTTTACTTTTGGAGATTATATATGAAAATGTTTCCTACAATAAAAGTATTGTATTTTAAAATTAGAAACATATTGTATTCTACGCCAGTATTCGAAGAATGCACTAACATATTTCAGTGAGTGGCGCCGGCCGTGCTGGCGTAATACCTTTAAATAATAAATATAAGTTGACCCCCTTTCTTCGTATTCATTGTAAACTATAAAACATTTATAAATTTTATACACATTAATGATCAAACTTTACAATGAGCAATAACTGATTACTACATACAAAATTTGCAAACGAAAATGTGCGAAAAACACGCCTTACAATCAGAAAACACCATCAGCGGCGGCCAGCCAATGCCACATAGGGAACAGGTGCGCCGGTGGCGTTGCGCCAGCAACTCGTTTTTAAAATGGTGGACACAGCCATGGTGGAAATAACTCCCATGGACTCAGCGTGAATTTGGCACGCGGAGTGAAAGAAGTTTCCATCCTGTATACTTTCTATTCTGGCCGGAGGGTGTGAATTGCTAGTTTGTTAGCAATACTATCAAATCCAATCTGTGCTTCGTTTACAGGTACAAAAATAAATTTCATATTACTCGGGAGTGAACAAGCCTACTTTTCAAATGTTGCTAACCACGCTTTGTGGGTATTTTTATTAATCTCTTAACTAACACATACTTACAAACTAAACTTACAGTAGACTCTGCTTATTTACAATGTTTACACGCACCAGTACTTACAATCTAAACTTAAAGACTTACACTGAGGTTTTTATAGTTCGCCGGTTAAACTTACTTGCACTTCAAATTAACTTCTCCCCATAGCACGTCACAAACAGTTTTTAACTGTTTTTGACGCAAATAAATAAACAAACTGGCTCTTGAGAGTCACAGTTACAGTTACACTTTTTCCCCGCACACGCACACTCACCTGATGGCTGCTCGCGTACTCTTGTTCCATCACAGGCACTGTGGGTGGCGTCTCTGTGGACGGCGGTGCACTCCTGTTAATCTGTAACTTCACAGCTGAGAAGCGGGGGTGACCGGCCGTCGTATGCAAGGCCTGGCGGGAGTGCGGGCTCGGTACTCACATGGTACTCGTACTAAGTCCTCTCTGGCGATGTAGTTTTAGTAACACGCGGCGCTACCCGATATTGCCTCGGCGACGATGCGTATAGTGAATAGTAAAAGTAGCGTATAGTGAGTATGCGTGTAGTGAAAAGTTAAAGTGAATAGTATTTATGCAAATAGTAAGAGAACGGGGTCGGAATTCTGGAGTTGAAGAAAACGAGCGTAGAATATACTTCTCCCCTGTAGGTCACACACTATTTTCTCTGTTTTTAATGAAAATAAATCAAATCAAATGGGACGTGTAGCTCGACGAAATCGAACAGCAGTACTACGGCAGGAATGTTTCGAAAAGCTAAACCCTAAGTAGTTATTTCGTACTTTAGACACTAAACGCTATAACAATACCGGTTGATTAATTCCAAAAACGCTTTACTTAAAACCTATTTAAGTATAACAACTCTTTTTAGAACGCTCGAGGTCAGTGACGAATCAGAGAGAACTGAAACCCACATGCTACCCACTGGGTTCTAGTGATACGCTTTTCACCAGTAATTTTCCTCAATTGGGTTTCTGCTGCGATGTGGGCGCAGAAGTTCCTCATTAGGGAGAATTAGGCTGGAGAGTCTCTTGACGTGGGTTTCTACCTATGCTCGCCGGAAAGGACCTCGCCCCGAGCAAATGACTTTTGCCTTTAACTTTGAAATTACACAAATGCACAGATGCGATCTATAGAATTACACGTGACATATTACTATATCAATCTTACATGTGCATTTTGTTTCAGTGGGTAGACAGCGTTCATTTTGTCTCACGCCACACTAGCCCACTGATCCAGTTAGATCAGTTTCCGACCCAATTTCATCACTCACAAGACGTTAAAATTGCAGGGAATTCAGCTCAATTACTTTGACCCACACTGCGTACCAAGATTCTTCGGGCTTGACACTTGAGAGAGACGTGTATTATAATAAGAAAGAGAAGCTAATACAATAGATAGTCTACTATTATTTCCTCACGGCCATGCGAGTAACGTTTCACAAGTTAGTCCTTGATTTACGACCTTAAACGGCTCTCCTTTTACATGCAGGTTCCAAGATAATACGACGGGATTTTAATCCCTTTTATTTCGCAACTCTGTCAATACATGTTAATCTGACTGACAATGAATTGCTTATCCAGGAACCAATGTGCTATTCTCAGCGTTGCTGACTTCTTAAAAACGGACTTATTATGGGGAATAAATTTTAATTCATTTTATGAAGTTATAAGTAATAATTATATTTGCCATGAGAATGTTCTCATCTCAGACTATAAGAGTGAAATTTAAATTAGTAAATTGAAATTTGATTGAAATTTACCATTTCGGCAAAGTTTTTGCAGTATGATTTGTGTTTATCTCTGACATCGTGGTAAAAGGTTCATTATAACCAGGAATCGTATCCCGATGACCTAAACATTCTTTGAAAATGAGCTATAAAAATACTTAAAAGAGGAAAATGACCTAAAAAATATAAATAAGGGGAAAAGACCTCATTTTTTAAAAATCACTCAATTTGTATGAAAATGTTTACTTATTCAATAAATTTTACAGTTTTAATAAAATGTATTTATATAAAATTATGTTTAGTACCAAGTCTATAAAGTCTTAATTTTAGGAGGAAATGTGAACCTATCTTAGCTTCTATCTTCGAATTTTTGGTTTTGAAAGGTCGAGTAAGTATCCGAAAATCCATGTAATTTTCAGAGTTCGAAAAACAGAGCACATTGCAATAGTAAATTTCGTCATAAACTAAAGATACAACAATATTTGCTTTTGTGAGCTGTAAACTCATGTAACACTCACTAACAAAGTGAAGGAGTTTGCTAAGTGCAGGTGTATTTTCAACATAACGCCCGTCAGCATTTAGTTGTAACTTAACCTAACTTAGTAACTTAACTCTAACTTAGGTGATTCCGTAAAAAGAAAAGGTCACTAATAATTGTAATTTGACACATATACATGACTGTCGATCACCATGCGTCTTAGTTCTTTTCTTGCGAGACAGGCGTGGATCCAGGGAGGGAAATATTTCAGTAACTATTAATTTTAACTTGTCAAGAAACTTTCACGCAAAAAATATTTTTGGATAATTAACTAAATTAAAACGTTTCGCAGTAGCCTGCGACATTTTACAAAATCTGTAATATGACACATTCGACCAAAAGATTTTGAATTTCCCCTCGCAAAATTTGTCTCTGGATCCGCCCCTGTATGACATATATTTAAAGAAATTTCTAATTTAGTTTGATTCAGCAATGAAAACCTTTCAATTAGTTTTGTTTGCTCCAACTTACTGCTTTTACCACGAAGATTTAAAGTTAGTGAGAAAGGATCTACTTCACGCCCTAAATAAGCTATCTTACATGCTGATCCTTATATTTCGAAGGGGACTTTGCAATCCTTTAATCCTAAAGCAAAACACCTCTGTTCCAGGGCCATCGGAGAGCAGACTGAGGATGTAGTTGACTGTGCATAGATATTTTGACGAGTACCGGCCAGATCCGTTGCTGACGAAGAAATACATCAACAGCATATTTTTGCAGTACCGTAATATTTGATGAATTACAAATAACTTTTCTTTATATAATACATGTTCTATTACCATGTTCTGACTAAATAGGAGAAACATTATAAGTTTTGTGGTGAGATTTTGTAGTTTAAAAGCCAGAGGTTCCTCTATGATCACTGATACTTGTTACAGTACATTTTATTTCTGACTTCATTTTGATAAAAAGTGAGGGAAATTCGAGTAGTACTGCATAATGTACACCCTGCATATTATGTAGCAATTGTAAGTTTATGGGGTGCAAAATGCAAACAAGTTATGGTAAGGAAATAGAAAAGATTACAGAAACACCTATTCCCAAAAATAAAATCAAAATTATACAAAGTAGAGGAGAATTTAATAAATCCCATTGTCACATGTGGCATACTTCATGCATAATATGGGAGTGCCAAATGAAAGGCATAAATATTTAAAAAATGAACTAACCTAAAAAAATATCTTTACTTGATACAAAAAGATTATACTTTTATGGCCTCTTAATGCAGATTTTCTAGTGCATATTTGATTTCAGCAAGTGAGTACTTCATAATAAAAAAAAATACTCTTATTTAAAGAAAATAATATTTTACTACAAACGAATCTTTTTGATGCAAATTCCTGACACTTTGTTTAACATACCCAATAATTCTACATTACTTTTGGTTTTAAATATATAGCTTGTATTACATTTGGCAAATCTATGTACATTTTGTGGCACAAAGGAACCATACATTTTATCTATTTGCAAGAATGTGGGTACACCAGATGCTTAAATTTTCTTTAAAAAGTTTAAGAAAGTGCTGTTGTATCAAAAGGTGGTAAATAATGAAACAATTGAAATGATATATTTTAAAAATATTAAAACATAATTGGAATATAATATTAATCAGATAATCAATATTATGTCTACAAATAAAATAAAATTAATTAATAATTACTTTTAAACAATGATTGTCTCCATTGTATGTTACATACAGCATTACAAATGAGAAGTGAATCTACCCATTACATGTAACCACTTCCCACTTACTTATCCAGAAAATGAGTATTTGGATTGTATTGATATTAATCTTAATTGATCTGGCACAAGAAAGATTATCAAATTAATTTTCTGAATGTATTTGTAAGGGTGGGGTGAGGGAAATAAAAACTACTATTTTCACCACGAAGCAATGATAGGATAGGAAAGAATGACTATGAAAAAATACCAATGCCAGTTACATTAACACCATTTCTTCATCAAACTATTTATTTCGCAGAAAATAAAGAACAAATGTTTACAGAATTATGTTTTTTTACAGTTCTTTTATCTACTTTTAAGAAAGTGTTTTTTTATTCCCTTTGCATCAAAATATTTCATAATGAACTTAGGTCTTCTGAACTTACTAAAATGTTTCTACTATGCCCACTGCTTTATTATATTTCCTAGTTATCAGAGATTACTTATTTTTCTATTTGATTACAAAAGTATTAACATCTTTTCTAAAAATATACTAATATAAAATTCAGTAAATTTTCTACTCCTTTTCTGAAAAAATATTCTATTGAAAGTGAAATTCTCATTAATCATTTACTCAATAGAAACTGACAAGTGACAATTGCTGATTTTTGCTGATGATTGCTGAAGACTGCAGAAATCAGTATTTAATTAACATGATTGATAATTACACAAATTAGATACAAAGATAAATATTTGCTATAGATGTAATACAACATGAAAATGATCAATAATAAGGATTATGTACCAATAATTATTTTGAAACTTACAATCATTTTATTAAAAATATAGTAACTATTCTAAGGAAGCAGTGCAATCTGGAATTGCTTCAAATCACACTGCACAAATCTTTCAAAACGTGAATGTAGAAAATTTGCACATGAATAAGTAAATTTCATCCAGTGTGATTCTAGTCATAGAATGTTTCGAAGTGTTTTATAAACTGTCTTGAAAACTGTAAAATATAATTTCATTTTGATGCAAAGGAAAAGGAAATTCCACATAAATAAATGAATTTATAAAAATGTCAATTAACATTTTCAAAAAGAAATTTATACTACTTCATTACTAACACTATATGAAAAAATATATATTCATAACATACTTCAATAATTAAAATATCACTAATTAAGTACAGCATTATATATGAGTGCCACACTATTAGAGATATACTAGATATCTGCAATAAAATTTACTAAAAGACAGTATAAACATATTTAATATGAAATGTGCAATTATGTGTGAAGAGGAAAAATTACTTTCCTAAGAAATTTCAGAATGTTCAACCATTTGAAGAAAGCATATTGGAAATACTGGAAAAAGTCAAAAGTTTTGAGTATTGCAATATTCTGCTAAAAGACAAAATTAAGATACCAAGTTACTACAATGGGAACAAAAGAAATAAAAAAGAATTGGAATAAATAGCATTACCTAACATCAACAAAATAATTATTTCGGAAACTTGGTTACCTGTATATATTTTGAGACTGGTTAATCGCATTGCAGATGAAATTAAATAGATCAGATCAGTATGAACTTTTAATTCTAGTATTCATTTTCTTGCGTTTCCACCAATAATAAAAATTACATAGTGAACATCACAAATGTTTTTCCAATGAAATAAAAAGGAACTTCTCATATGTTTTCATAGGAATGATTTCTAATTAAAATAGAAAACAGGTTTCAAATATTGAAAGCAATAAAAGTGTATAAAGATAATTTGTACTCTCAGTTACAGTCATACTGGATGCTGTGTAAAATCATTGAAAAATATAGACCTTTTTACTCATTAAGGGTAAGTTTCTGAATATAAGGTGATTTGTGACATTGAACACATCATCTCTCACTAAAATGTCACTTAGTAATTATTTTAAAATATATTTCCTTGCCAGCAGCAGTTAATATTCAGTTTTTAAGTGGTTTTAAGTACAACCAGTGAGTGAAGAATGATGCAGAAATGCAAAGTGTGGGGTGGAGTGGGGTAAAGAATTCAATGGAGCAATGGGTGGAAGAAACTATTAGGCCCTAGAGAAATTATAGGCCAGTATACTTCAGCATGGATGCATGTTATTTTACTCATATACGCCTGAATGGCATAACATTTACAGTCCAAGTGTAAGTGTTTTTATACGTTTTAGGAGTTATAACTATTTTACAATCTTTAATTAAAGGTGGGTTTCTAAGCTTTCATCCTTCAATTTTAACTATTTTAATATTGAATTTTCTTCTTACCGTGTACTTTGTTCTGCGACAGTTAATAAAGTAAATTGTATAAAGAGAGGAGAATCATCTTATTATGGCAAAATTATTTACTGGAAATATGTATTACATATTTTACTCGAAGATGGAAAAAGTTTTCTGAAACGTCATGACATAAAGTAACATGTTTAACCATTGAAATAAATAATATTTAAATATGACTGCATGAAATTTATTAAGGAAGATCGAATAATAAATATACCAATTAAAACTCAAATAAGACAATCAATTAAATTGTTTCAGAGTGTTAATATTCAGATTCTATATGCAAACACAGGCAATCAGGCTTGTGCAAACCTATTTTTAAAATAAAAAAAATAATTAAATTTTATATTCAAAAGTTAGAATGCACACGAAGAATCTTAAACAAGCTGACAGAACTGAAAGTCATTAAAACTCTAGAACACTGCATATGTAGATAATGAATAAAAAGTAATTTACTTTCACTCATTACATGCTTAGAAAAGTTATTACTAAAAATGTGAATATAATTTACAGCTCACATACACCACGAACACACTAAAAGATAGAACTTAGTGTATTTGTATTTTCTGAAGGTAGGACCTACCATCCTTATTCTCAATCACACAATCATTAAACACCATCATTTTCTATGCTCATTAAGGAAAAATAGATAACTTATTTACAAAAATCTAGGTCGGAGCTATGCAGATTATCTTCTTCAAATGAGACTCCCTCTATTTGGAAAGAATCTTAAGCAAGCATTTGATAGGTTGCCAACTCCAACAGTTCAGGACTTCTTGATCAGAACAAATTAAATAAATCTTCTTCAGGTAAGTCAGAGTCACCATCTGTGAGATTAGCAGTGGCAAAGGACTTTCTCTCCAGGGAAGACCTAGTAGATGCTAAGCTCCTATCTGAGGGAGATCTGAATTCTAGATTAGAAATACGCACTATTTTATCCCAAATTGATTATGTGAAAAATATCCCCATGAACACTCTCAGCCCTGGTGACATACATTACAATCCACTAGGCGACCCGCTTGCTGATATATCCAAAAATCACTCCATCAGGTATCAACGTGGCTAGAGGACATCAGAAGAGGGGTTCCTCTACCCAGGGAAAGACCACCACCTCAAAATGTTCCACTAGAAACCCCTCTAGTTCCTCCACTCTGTCTCCCAGTTTGCTGAAAAGGACACAGAATTTAGCCGAGAGCTCAACTAGGTCAAAAGTCTCTTTGGAGGTAGTGCCATCTGAATATCCAGCACCAAATTAGCATCACTTGATGGACATGTCTACTTGAGAGGACACACTTCCTTCTGCTGAGCTTGGTCACGTGCAAGATGTGCAATCTGATCATGGAACTCGTGCACCAAAGATCACTCAATGGAAATGGCAGGAGTTGAAACTAGTAAAGAACTGGAATCAGCATTTGAAATGTCAATGCCAAATCCATTCCATCCTTCAAATGTTAGATTCCAAGATGTTTCTTTCCATGATGATGATTCAATGTCTGGAGGATCTTTTGGAGTATCAGACCCACCATCTGTTGTAGCATCCCATCAAGGAAATATAATCCAATCTCTACAACAAGGGATGGGAACAAGTCTGGCTAAAATATATCTATCTCATTACACCACATTCTTCCACACATTATTCTCAAAGCAGTCTTGGAACTTTTCGCAAATAAAATAACAAAACAATGTAAATGTACAGAACCCTAACAACAATCCTTAATAAAATGAAGGCTGATTCATAGGGCTTGGTCAATGGAAACTATTAATACTTTCATTATTTGCCAACATTTGTGTGCCATGCAAATGTACCTTAAAACGCATGTGGTTGACCACATTCAGGATCATGTAGCTTCAGTCCATTGGTTGCAATCCCCGAGATGAAAATAAAAGAACATTCTTCTATGAGAATTACATTAAATTATCACCCCAGTAAACTGATTTTACATAGGAAAAATTGAGTTAATGAAACTGTCATTTAAATGGGGTTCACACATTGATGGTGTCTGCTGATTTATACCGAATTATAACAGATTATAATAAAGAGATAATTCATTATAATAGACTAAATTAAAATAGATACAACCATCACACAAGGAGGAATTGCTATAACGAAAAAATAGTGAACATGTATAATTCGTTTAGGGACTAGTAGATGATCACATAAAAACAAAAGTGAATACCAAAGGGAAACCTCACGCAATATCTCAATTAATTGAAATAGCTTTGGATGAAGAAAGTGCAATTGAGTTGCAACGTCACAAATTTGGTAATCTAAAGTTCATGAATCATGAACAAGCGTTTAAAACATAAATATCATCATCAGGAGACGATAAAATATTAGGTAGTAAAGAAGTAAATATAACTTGTTTTCGATATCAAAAGGTAGATCATAAGACTGTGAGGATACACCGGTACCGCCATGCACGATTTGAAATCAGAAAGGGCACTAGACATGGAACTGCAGAGCGGGGTTGACTGAGCATAAAGATAGTGAAACACAAAATATGGTGTGAAGTGCAAAGAGTTTGTGTAGTTCAGAGTAATTGCACTGAGCAG